TCTTAGGAACATCCTGCTCCCTAACTCTCAGCTGATGATACCCAAAACGCAGATCAATCTTGGAGAAGTATGTGGCTCCCCTTAACTGATCAAACAAGTCATCAATTCTGGGCAAAGGATACTTGTTACGAATCGTAACCTTGTTCAACTCCCTGTAATCTATACACAGACGAAGCGAACCATCATTCTTCTTCACAAATAGAACCGGTGCTCCCCAAGGTGATGTACTCCTATGAATAAAACCCTGGCTGAGTAACTGCTGAATCTGATCCCTCAGTTCTCTCATCTCCACCGGTGCCATCCTATAGGGTGCCCTAGCAATAGGCGTAGTGCCTGGAGCTAAGTCTATCACAAAATCAATCTCTCGACTAGGTGGCAACCCTGGAATCTCCTGAAATACATCCGGGAAATCCTGTACAATCGGTATGTTATCCAATGGCACAGTAACCCCCTCCTCATTTTCCTCCTCCACATGGAACAAATAGGTGCTACTGCCCCCTTTAGAACGTGGCATAGCTACTACATACATATCCTGACCAGGTATGGTAAAAATAATAGATTTATCAAAACAATCAACTTGGGTATGGTAGTGAGATAACCAATCCATCACAAGTATCACATCATAAGTGTGCATGTCCAGGACCAGTAGATTGGCTAGAAATCTAAGTCTGCCAATATCTAATGTCACCGGCCCATCACTCTCATGTAAAATAGCTGTATCACCCAATGGTGTAGAAATATCCTGAGGTCTAGTGCATACCTTCGTCCTCATCCCAGATAAAGCAACAAAAGTCCTAGATACAAAAGAGTGTGTAGCTCCTGTATCAAATAAAACACGTCCATGCAAACCATGAATAGGAAACTTACCCTCAATAGTCTGAGGTGCCCGAACATCCTGTGGCATGGGGTTATACACCCTGCCATAGTGTAACTTCTGTGGTGCCTGTCCCTGAGTCTGCGGCGATGCCGGTAAAGCCAGATGTGTCTGTCCCTGAATCCGTGGAACCTGTGGAGCTGGTAGAGGCACTGGCGCCTTTTGTCCCTGCTGCACATACTGTCCCTGTCCCTGTCCTGCTTTAGGACACTGCCTGGTGGTATGACCATACTCTCCACAAGTGTAACAAATACCCTGGAAAGTACCAAATGGCCTCCTCTGTCGGTTAGCCTATGGCTGACCCTGTCCTGCCTGTGGTCCCCCATTCTGTTGCCTCTGAATAGGTGCCCCATTCCGATGAGCATCTGAACCACCCTTGTGCTTCTTCCAAGGCTGTTGTCCCTGGAACTTGCCTTTGTCATTCTGCTGGTGACCATTGCCGTTCCCCTCTCTTGCCTCGCCTCTTCGTTTTCCCCCTTCTTCAGAACCCTTCTGCAATTCCTCGCCCTATGCTATGGTTTCCATAAAATATAATTCAACCCCAATAGTTTTCCCCAGTCCATGTTTAAGTCTTTATTGCATTCCATACATAGGTTAAACAGAGATATATGCGAGCAACTATCACGTTTTAACAAAATTTTAAGAATACAACACATACTGATAAGTTTCAGTTTAAGCACGAACAGAGCATGTGTTTAGTTGATTTAGTTAGTCCTAAAACTGTTTAAGAATGTAAAGAACACGAAACCTAAGGGATAGAGTAAGGATAGAACTTGCCTTTTGAGATTTTTGTTAAAAATCTCTACGTTGTCTTCTACGATCTCCGGCGATTCCTACTGCAAACTTCCTCTGTTCCTCGTCTCTATTTCCACAGACGTGTTTAGGTTTTACTTTTCTTAAAACCCTAAGCAAACTTATCTTATATATTTATAGACAACCAAAAACCCTAGTCCAATTATATCCAAAGTCTGAAACTTGGCCCATAAACACAACCTAGTTTATAAACCCTGTCGGCTCATTAAATTAAACCTAAACAGAACTAAAACCCTAACCACACTTTTATACCTAGTCATAATTAAAACATTTAATTATTAATTCAATTAAAGAAACACTAAAATTCCAAGTTAACGTAAAACAGAAAATAAAATACAATTTACAGAAAATTAAAGCCAAATAAATAATTAAAACATTTAACTTAAATAATCACAATTAATGTAAATAATTCAAATAATTAAGTAAATCAAAGAAAACAAATAAACCAAATAATTAATTCAAATAATACAAATAAGTCAAATAATTAAAAAGTCAATTAAAACATAAATTAAATACCAGGACTAATTAAAAAGTCAATCAAAACATAAATAAAACAATTAATGAACAGAAAACAATTAAACAAAATACCGAGACTATCCTGTTAAAAATTAGGGGTATTACAACTTTTGACCCATTTTAGACCACACATTTTGAGAAGAAATTGGCCAAGCCTAGACCACATTTTTCATTCTTCTCTCCCTCACTTCCGGCCACACTCTCTCTCTCTTCCACTTCACTTTTTCTCTCTAAAATCTCAAACTTTTCTCTAAGATTTGAGCTAGCTAAGGAAGGTCTAGGTGGGGAGCAAAAGGAAAAGTTATTCTACTTTTCAAGATCTACATTTTCACTCCGGTTTTACTTCCATTTGGTGAAATTCGATATTGGGAGCTAGGGGTTTTGGGTTACATTTTTAAGATAGGGATGTTTGAAGTACCATGCTTTATTTCTTGTTTGAGTTCTTTTCTTGATTTCATGTTTTATTTGCTTTAAATATCAAATTTGTAGTTGAAGTTGTTTGTGTGTTGAATAGAGAAAACATGGCTAAATGTGATGTAATTATGTGTATACTTTTATTGCTATGACATTATAAGCATGAAAATATTAATCTCTATGATACATGATTTCATACATGGTATGAGCATGGTTTGGGAATAGTGGTTGAAATGCTTTTAAAAAGAAAGCGATTTGGAAATAGTTGGGGAAAATGAATTTTTTATGAAAGGGACCGGGTTTCGCGAGCCAGTGGGCTAATTCGACCTAGAGGCAGCGCGTGCCGGTGAGGACGTGTAAAGTTGATTGTTAGGCCCCAAATAGTTGCCGCAGAGGAACTAGGGATAGCCAATCAATCTCGTCTCGGTAAAGTTGATTAGCGGTTTTCAATGTGTGTTGAGTTGGGCCGAGAATTGTGGTTGGGAAAGCATGACATTTCATAGCATGATGGTATTTTTATGTTGATTATGGTTTATTGGCATTCCCGTGTTTGACTCAATGGAGCCCAAAGCTAATGCTTTAGGCATCTCCTACTGAGCCGTCGTGCTCATCCCATATTTATCATTTTCAGGACATGGCAAGAATATTGTAGACGACGTACCCTCACAAGCTTAGAAGTGTAGAATGGATTTTTGATATCTTTTGTAATAGACTAGCGTGGACAATGATTTTGCAATGTAATTATATTCTTTTGTGAGCTTCAAGCGAAACCTTTGTAATTATGGCCATGAAGACCTTATCATTTTGTAAACACATTCTTTTGCATTGATATAAATGTTTCAAAGATGTATGAATGATGATATTTGTAAATTTTATGAAACGTTTTATGGTTGAGGATGTTCATGGAACCTTAAATTTCATGTTTAGGTGTTTTGGAGATTGCATTTGATTGGGTGCAGGAAGCAGAAATTTTCGTTAGATTCATTTTGTGGGCATTATCTTACCGGTTAGATAGGAATTCCTAACCGGTTAGATGAATCGGCAGTATGTTGGTTTGATGGATTTTTCCCATCTAACCGGTTAGATGAACTGATATTTTCACAAGGACTTTATATTTCCATATAATTACCTAATGACCCTCAGACCCTAACCAAAGTGCAGAATGACCCTAGAAAATGACGGAGTTACCCCTGAAGGGTATGGATGTTGTATTTTGACTGAAAAATGACTACTTTGCCCCTGAGAGTTTTATATCACTATTGGAATGCGGTAAAAGTCTATTTTACCCTTTTGGGTTTAATATTATTATTTAACCATGCAAAAAGACCATTATACCCCTATGAACTCTAGGAGCAATAGAATGACATAATTTGGCTACAAGGCCTTCGGACCTCATTTAATTCATGGAATGACTCTAATGAATGACGGTTTTACCCTTAGTAGACCTTAAATCATTAAATTAATGTGAAATAACCATAGTACCCCGTGTCACCTTGGGTTCGGGTAAGGACCCAGTTAGTGATCCAGATCCCCGGATTCGGGTCGTTACAGATTTGGTATCAGAGCAATGGTTCGAAGACTATTAGGACGATGGGTAGAGGCTTACCTAAGGTTGTGTGGGAAGTCATTTGCATTGCTTATGTGATTATTTACTAAAGTGTTTTGTTATGTTAAAAAGCATGTTTAACTATTTATTTGCTTACGTGCTTATGTACTTATATGCTTATGTTGATGTACTTGTTGCACAGTCTTGTATGCTAAGTGTTAGTATAGTATCATTGTGTGTTGAGTCGTTCACAGTTGGGCCTTAGCTTCATTGTTGTTGAACTGTTTTCTCATTTTATAGCACGATGCCACCGCGAAAGGAGCTAAAGGGAGTTGGCCATAGGCCGACAAGGGGTGATGTTGGTGAGAGTTCTAGCTCCAATCCCGCGGAGCAGGTTAAAGAGGATACACTTCTTAGGGACTTGATTCCCCCTAGAGGTGTTTCCACACGAAGGGACAATGTTGAACCATTGAAGCGGGTGAAGGCTCAGCTGAGTTAGCACTGAACCGTTTCTTACAGAGTGCCTTGAGGTCTACAATTCCTACTCTTCCGCAACCGATACCACAACCGGTAATTTAAGTTGAGGAGACGCCGGTACAGAAACGTCTATAGTTGATTGCGGGGTTTTCTAAGTTGATGCCAATGATGTTTGAAGGTGGTGCAGACCCAATGGTAGTGGACGACTACATGGACCAAGTGGAAACCCACTTGACTTCTATGGACGTGACGGATGATCATGTGAAAATCATCCTAGCCACGTATAAGTTTTCTATGGATGCCAAGCTTTGGTGGAAGTCAGTCACCAATCGGCATAAGGTGGAGGATATGAGTTGAGAGATGTTTAAGGAATTATTTTATGAGAAGTACTTTCCGGTTGCGAAGAGATGGGAGTCAAGGAAGCAATTTGATGATCTCATCCAAGGTAACATGTCAGTGACAGAGTACGAGAACAAGTTCACTTCCCTTTCTTGTTTTGCTCCAGAGATAGTGAAGAATGAAGCTGATAAGACTCGGAAGTTTGTTTCAGATCTTCCTTACCAAATGAGGCCGTTAATAATGACATAGTATATCAAAGTCTATTCGGAAGCAGTGGAAAGGGCATTAATGTTAGAGGTAGAAGCAAATGATATAAATGCAGGAAAGGAATAGTGGAAGCAAGAGAGGAATGCAGGGTCATCTTTAGAGGGCAGTCATGGAAGAGGAATAGGGGTGGTCCGTCTCAGTTCCAGGGGCAGCAGTCTGCACGATCCGCTCCTACGACCCCTATACCAACAGGGTCTGCTAGGAGTGGTGTCGTTTGTTTTCACTACAATCAGTCGGGTCACTATAAGGCAAAATGTCCACAGGCATCGGCTAGTTCTGGAGTTTACTTTGGTTGTGGCCAGAAGAGCCATAGGGTTAAGGATTGTCCGAATCGGGGAGCAGGCACAGGTAGTGGCAGAGGGTTACAGCAGAAGCCGTCACAGTCGGTTATAGTTCAGTCAGGTTTCAAACCACCACCGCCACCACAGCCTGCCATGTCTTCTCAGGGTTCACGGCCAGCTAGGAGGGATACTCCTACTATGCCAGTGCAGCAGTCAGGTGTTCAGGTTGGCAGTTCTCTGGCACGGGTACCACAGGGACGTGTCTTTGCACTTGCTCAGACCGATGCATCTTCTAGTCTATCAGTTCTCCGAGGTATCTTTCTAGTGTTTGGTTCTTGGGCTTGTATTTTATTTGACTTTGGTGCATCTCATTCCTTCATCTCATCATCATTTGCATTTGTATCGGGGTTAGAGGTTAGTTGCATGGATTAGGCGTTATGTATTGATATGCCAGTTGGGGTTTTGGTGTCCTTGAGCAGAGTCATGAGGGATTATTCCATTGTGATAGCCAGACGGACTTTTGTGTTTGACCTCATCCTCCTGGTGATGACTAATTTTGATGTTATTCTCGGGATGGATTGGTTAGCTTTATTTCGTGCTACGATTGATTGTTTCAGAGGTAGAGTCACAGTTTGTATTCCTGAGGGAGATTGCTTCTTTTTCATGGGAGATCGGAGTGACTCCCATACTTCATCGTTTTATAGAATTTGTGGACGAGGTCGTGGTGATTACTTCTTGGTTAGTCTTTTAGCCGAAGAAGATGGTGTTGTAGAGGAGGTTTATCCGACGGTTGTTCATGACTTTTTGGATGTTTTTCCGAAGGACCTAACAGAGTTGCCTCCATATTGAGAGGTGGAGTTTATTATTGATTTGATGCCCAGTACTGTGCCAATTTCTATTGCACCGTATCGTATGGCACCAGTAAAGTTGGAAGAATTAAAGAAGCAACTTGATGATTTGAGGATGAAAGGCTTCATCCAACAGAATGTGTCACCGTGGGGCACACTGGTCTTGTTCGCTAAGAAGAAAGATGGTTCTTTGAGGTTGTGCATTGATTACCGGAAGTTGAATCATACCACCATCAAAAACAAGTATCCTTTGCTAAGGATAGATGATTTGTTTGACCACTTAAATAAAGCTTGTTATTTGTCGGAGATTGACTTAAGGTCAGGCTATTATCAGTTGCGGGTTAGGAATGAAGATATCCCGAAGACAAGGTTCCGTACACGGTATGGACATTATGAGTTCCTTGTTATGCCTTTTGATCTGACTAATGTGTTAGCGGTATTCATGGACCTAATGAACCGTGTCTTCCATGATTGCTTGGATTAGTTTGTGGTAGTTTTCGTGGATGACATTTTTGTGTACTTATGGTCTTAGAAGGAACATGAGGTTCATTTGAGTATTGTGTTACAAATTTTGAGGGAATGCCGTTTGTATACCAACTATGAGAAGTGTGAATTTTGGCTACAAGAGGTGAAATTTTTGGGGCATATTGTTTCGGAAGGTGAGGTTTCAGTTGATCCTTCAAAGATAGAGGCAGTTTTGAATTGGGAGCATCCCAAGAATGTTTTTGAGATCCGCAGTTTCCTTGGCCTAGTGGGTTATTATTGAAGATTTGTGAAGGATTTTTCCCGTTTGGCAGCTCCTATGGCTAGATTGACCCGTAAAGGAATTAAATTTTCATGGAATGAAGCCTGTGAGTAATCCTTTCAGGAGTTGAAGACAAGGTTGACTATGGCACTAGTATTGGTGATACCCGAGCTTGGCTTGGGTTATGTGATATATTATGACGCTTCACATAATGGGTTAGGTTGTGTGCTAATGCAGGATGGTAGGGTTGTGGCTTACGGGTCTCGATAGTTGAAGACTCATGAGCTTAACTACCTTACTCATGATTTGGAGTTAGCTGCAGTCGTTTTTGCTTTGAAATGCTGGAGGCACTATTTGTATGGTGAGAGATTCGAGGTGTTCTCGGATCATAAGAGTCTCAAATTACCTTTTCTCCTAAAAGGACTTGAATAACAGACAAAGACGATGAGTTAAATTCTTAGAGGACTGTAACTTTGATTTGCAGTATCATCCGGGCAAGGCAAATGTGGTAGCTGATGCTTTAAGCAGGAAATCTTGTGGAACTTTGGCCGGGTTGGCTATTCGGAAATGGAAGATGCTTGAGGATCTAACGTAGATGGGATTACAATGTTTTGATGATGACTATAGTAGTGAGCCAGTGTTCTTGTTCAGTTTTGTGGCTCAGCCTACTCTTGTCGGACGAGTGATTAAGTCACAGAGACAGGATCCGAATTTAGATGCCATTCATTCTTTGATCTCCAGTGGGGAGATAGTGAAAGATTGGACCTTACATGCAGATGGAGGTCTTCCGTTTAGGGGTTTGTTGGTTGTTCCCACAGTTTGTCATGAGGTCGTCTTACGGGAGTTTCATATTTCTCGCTTTGCAGTTCATCCAGGTAGTACCAAGATGTATCACAATTTGAGACGTCAATACTGGTGGAATGGAATGAAGAAAGATGTTGCGCAGTTTGTGGCTAGATGCCTTACCTGCCAGCAGGTGAAGGCTGAATACCAGAGACCAGCTGGTTTGTTGCAACCATTACCAGTAGCGCAGTGGAAATGAGAGCAGATTGTTATGGATTTTGTGACAGGTCTTCCAAGATCACGGAGGGGAAACGGGCCGTATGGGTCATCATTGATAGATTGACCAAGACGGCTCATTTTTTGCCTATTAAGGCAACAGATGACGCAGAGACACTTGGTGTTCTATATGTAAAGGAAATTGTGAGGTTGCATGGAGTTCCAGTTACTATTGTTTCGGATAGGGATGCCAAGTTCACTTCGAAGTTCTGGGAAGGACTTCAAGCAGCGTTTGGTTCATCGTTTCACCTTAGTACGACATTCCATCCACAGACGGACGGCCAGTCGGAGCGTACTATCCAGATATTGGAGGATATGCTTCGGGCATGTGTACTTGATTTGGGAGGTAGTTAGGAAGATCATCTACCGCTTATTGAGTTTGCCTACAACAACAGTTATCAGGCGAGCATTGAGATGGCTCCATTTGAGGCATTGTATGGCAGACCTTGTAGGTATCCTGTTTGTTGGACTGAGGCAAGCAAGACAGCCAGTTTAGGACCTGACATTGTACTCAAGACTACCGAGAAGATTAAGTTGATTAAACAGAGGTTGCTCACAACCCAAAGCCGACAGAAAAATTATGCGGATAGACGGTGACGACCATTATCCTTTGAAGTAGGAGACCATGTCTTTCTACGGGTTTCTCCACGGAAGGGTTTGATGAGGTTCGGGAAGAGTGGCAAGTTATCGCCACGATTCATCAGACCGTTTGAAATCTTGGACCGCGTAGGAGAGGTGGCCTACAGGCTTGCATTGCCACCATAGATGGACATAGTCCACAATGTTTTTCACGTATTGATGCTACGGAAGTACGAGCCGGATCCATCTCACATTTTGAGCTGGGTTAATATGAACATTGATGAGGATGTTTCTTACAAGGAAGGACCAGTTCAGATTTTTGACACACGGCAGAAGGTGTTAAGGGACAAGACGATTCATTGGTGAAAGTTCTTTGGAGGCATCACGGAGTTAAGGAGGCTACTTGGGAGCTTGAACAGGAGGTTCGCTCCAAGTATCTAGCATTGTTTTCTCCCCCAGGTATGGTTTGATTTCGGGGACGAAATCCATTTAAGTTAGGGAGATTGTAATGTCCCGGATTTTTTGGATTTTTCGGCATTTTTTTTTTTTCATTTTTATTTACTTTTGTGCATCGTTTTGCATGTCGTGTGGTCCCGGTGTTATTTTCCCATTACCATGCATTTATCTATATGTGAATTAATGTATTAAATGTGTATGTATATGTATCATGTGGGTGGAGATAGATATTTTGTGGCAATGATGTAGTTTAGTAAACTTTGGAGGGCATTTTTGGCATTTGAGCATGGGTGGACTTTTGACCCATTTTAGACCACACATTTTGAGAAGAAATTGGCCAAGCCTAGACCACATTTTTCATTCTTCTCTCCCTCGCTTCCGGCTATACTCTCTTTCTCCTCCATTTCACTTTCTCTCTCTAAAATATCAAGCTTCTCTCTAAGATTTGAGCTAGCTAAGGAAGATCTATGTGGGGAGCAAAAGGAAAAGTTATTCTACCCTTCAAGATCTACATTTTCACTCCGGTTTTACTTTCATTTGGTGAAAATCGAGATTGGGAGCTAGGGGCTTTGGGTTGTATTTTTAAGGTACGGATGTTTAAAGTACCATGCTTTATCTCTTATTTGAGTTCTTTTCTTGATTTCATGTTTTACTTGCTTTAAATATCAAATTTGTAGTTGAAGTGGTTTTGTGTATTGATAGAGAAAGCATGTCTAAATGTGATGTTAATTATATGTATACTTTGATTGCTATGACATTATAAGCATGAAAATATTAATCTCTATGATACATGATTTCATACATGGCATGAGTATGGTTTGGGAATAATTGTTGAAATGCTTTTAAAAAGAAAGCGATTTAGAAATAGTTGGGGAAAATTATTTTTTTTATGAAAGGGACCGCGTTTCGCGAGCCCGGGGCAAATTCGACCTAGAGGGAGCGTGTGCAGGTGAGGACGTGTAAAGTTGATTGCTAGGCCCCAAATAGTTTCCGGAAAGGAACTAGGGATAGCCAATAGATCTCGCCTCGGTAAAGTTGATTAGCGATTTTCGATGTGTGTTGAGTTGGGTCGGGAATTATGGTTGGGAAAGCATGACATTTCATAGCATGATGGTATTTTTGTGTTGATTGTGGTTTATTGGCATTCCCATGCATGACCCGGTTTCTTTTAACTATTCTTTATATGTTGACTCAAGGGAGCCCAAAGCTAATGCTTTAGGCATCTCCTATTAAGCCGTCATGTTCACCCCATATTTATCATTTTCAGGACATGGCAAGGATATTGTAGATGAAGCACCCTCACAAGCTTAGAAATGTAGAATGGATTTTTGACATCTTTTGTAATAGACTAGCATGGACAATAATTTTGCAATGTAATTATATTCTTTTGTGAGCTTCAAGCGAAGCCTTTGTAATTATGGCCATGGAGGCCTCATCGTCTTGTAAACACATTCTTTTGCACTTGTATAAATGGTTCAAAGATGTATGAATAATGATATTTGTAAATTTGATGAAACATTTTATGGTTGAGGATGTTCATGGAATCTTAAATTTCATGTTTAGGTGTTTTGTAGATTGAATTTGATTGGGTGTGGGAAATAGAAAGTTTCGTTAGATTCATTCTGTAGGTATCATCTAACCGGTTAGATGAATAGGTAATATGTTGGTTTGATGGATTTTCCCATCTAACCGGTTTGGAAGGTTTTCCCAATCGGTTAGATAGGAATTCGGGTGTTTTACTACCCGAGTAGGAGATTCTTCGTAACCGGTTAGATGTAAGGGGCAGAGAAGGGGTTGGATAATTTTCCTTAAGTAACCGGTTAGATAAGGTTTCCTAACCGGTTAGATCTTCTTTTTATGATTTTCTTTCCGCTGGACCATTTATGTACTCGGTTAGGAGAAATCTCCTAACCGGTTGCATGTGATCTGATGACTTGCAAGCTTACTGAACCATTCATCTACTCGATAGGAGAAATCTCTTAACCGGTTAGATGAACTAATTGTAACGACCCGAACCCGGGGGTCCTTGCTCAAACCCGAGGTCTCCTATGCCAAACTCGATCCTTCAAAAGTCAAACACCACCACAACACTTGCATTTCACCCTCAGTAAGCCTCAGGGTCTAATATGTCGTTGAATCAAACTATTTCTGGGAAGAAAAAGGAAGATGATCAAGGAGCTTCATTTCGGTCGACCGAAGTGGAGATCCCGAAAACAACAAAGAGAAGAAGGAAGCTTGATCACAAGTCTTTTTTTCGGTCGACCGAAGTGGAGCTTCGGTTGTTCGAAATGGAGAAGCTGAGAGTGAGCTGGAGGTTCGGTCGTCCGAACATGAGATTCCGAGAGTTAAAAAATCTATTTCGGTCGACCGATGCACCATTTCGGTCGGTCGACCGAAATGGAGATCCCAAGCCTAGATCCCAAAGCCAACCTGCTATACTATGAGAATGGAAGGGAAGCTAGAATGGAAACTCGAAGGTGATCCGAACTCGTTCTATACAATCAAATTATGTGCCATTTCATAGTCATGGTCAAAACACTAACCCTTGATGTGATACCCCTCGGATCCGAGACACGAGTTGATCAGGCCCAGGCCCAAACCCGAGGGAATTTGAGTTTTACCAAAGGTCTAGGGACGATAGCCAATCCTCCTCTCGTGTCGCGGCAGGGTTACCAAAGGGCTGGCTGTATTAACATTTGAAAGTGATGGTTTTGTGAATGAAAATGACGAGTGATATTAGCATGCATTGCATTTCATTGCACTGCATGGTTTATAATTGGAATTGACGTGTATATTGTTTTAATTCCCTGTATTACATGACCCCTGTTTCCCATTGGCCTATGCTTTATTTGGATTCACAAGGACACAAGAATTATGTCTTGAGTGTCACCTACTGAGCTTTATGCTCACCCTATTATTTAATAATTTTTTTCAAGAAACGGGAAAGAAGTGGCGGATGACATTCTACCACAGACTTAGTTTTGGATTAGGAGCTTATTTTGTTGTTCTTGTACTTGGGCCTCACTATTTTTGTAAGACTAAGTATAATGTATTTTGTACGACGACTTATGGACTTTTAATATTATAATTGTACCTATGGGCCATAACTTTTGTATGAGCTGTCTAAAAGTTCTAAAATAGCGACATTAAAATTAATCTTGTATTTTGGGACTGTAATTATGCTATCTAGATGATATAGTACATGGTTGTACCACTATGGAATGCATTAAATTAAGGCATGATGAATGGATGAAAGGGATGCTGGAATATATATTTTATATTTATTGTGCTGGGACAGGTTAAAAATGTATTTAAACAGGTTATGGTAGGCCCATTTTTAGGGGGGGTCAAGCTGAATTTTTTTTTTTTAAATGGTATTAATTTAGGGTCGTTTCAATATATGAGCTTGCATTCTTTCTTTGAGTATTTTTCTCACTCATTAACTAATAATCATAGAGTTTCGCATGCGTTTGCTCTTCCTTAGCTGAATTTGTGGAATATGCAGTATTATTCAAGTATTATTCGTACAAATTTTCAACATAACCATGCGTTTGGTTGCTGATTATGACACCTTCATGATGGTAATTTTTTTAATATATTTATATAAATAATAATATTGATATGTACCAACCTGTCCCATACCTACCCAAATACAAATTATTATTTTTTCAAATTTTTAACATAACCATGCGTTTGGTTGCTTACTATGACACCTTCATGATGGGAGTTTTTTTTTTTAATATATTTATATAAATAGTAATATTGATACATAATAACTTGTCCCATTCCTACCCGAATACAAATTATTATTTCTTCTAGCTTTCGCTAGTTTTCTTTATATTTTTAGTTTACTTAAGTAATTTGTTTCTTTTTGGTTATTAGTTTCCTTTACAGTTTTAGGGTTTTATTTATTATAAAAACATGTACTAAAAAACCAATTAATTTTTTAATAATATTTTAATTACTTTATAATTTTTATTCAACTTTGTAGATTCAAAATTTCTAGATTCAAGGTACTCTATATATATTTGGATTCAAGATAACTCTCGTTCCATATGGACATTTGTGGAATAAAGAGTATTATTCATAGAAATCTGGTGTCACTTCTAAACTACTGTAGTCCTAAATGGATCCTTGTATTGCAATGCAAAGACTAAAAAAAGCAGACCTCATCTATAAAAAAGAAGAAGAAGAAATTTTTTTTTTAATCAATTTGAAGAAGTAACGATAAAATACACTGGAGGTGGGTTTACATTTGGCAATATTGTAGATTGCTGTATGTCGCAAGATATGGTTTTTTTTTCGGAATTTAAAGCAACTAATATTAATAAAAATAAGAATTACAAGCGGGCCAGTGGTCAAAATAGCCCAAGGAAAGGGAGACAAGCCCAAACAGCCCAAACAAGGCTCAAACAAAGAAAGGCCCAAACAACGATTCAATCTAATAACTGAAATTAACGGCTAATTAGCCGTCAATGGCAGTTGCTAGCACTCGGTCCGGTGAAACCCTAGCAGAGGATGATGATTGATCACCATCAACTGCGATCAAATTAATCCGGCGGCCTTAGAGAAGGACTGTCTCGTAGGAAACCTAGCTTCAGGAGGGCAGTGACCATGGAGGTGATCCTTGCAAGCACTGCTCTCTGTGTTGATTGCTTTGCTTTGAATATTCTCTTGTTTCTTTCCTCCCAAGTATGGTAAACTATGGGAAGAGAAGCATACTTTGCGCAGCAAGTTCATGGGAGAGTTATTCCTCCATTGAGAGCTTATGAAGTGGATTATATGGAATACGTGGGGAACTCGAAGATTGACTTATCCCAGGGACAAGGGCCTTAAACATGGATTGATGGTGTAGATTATAACAAGACATTATAATTTTTAATATTCTAATTTGTAATTTCTTATTTTCAACTTTAACTGATACCTTATGTTTTTAGTTAAGAAAATCTACGTGAGTAAATATTTATTTACACCGTATAGATATTAAGAGGACATTAGAATATCTAAGTCCATTGTTCAAAATTATACAATCAAAATAAATAAACAGTTAAAATCATTTTTGCTTTTGTTATGTCAGGGGTTATTTGTTAGTTTAATAGGTCACAAGTTGACAGTTTTAGGGCATGTTAATTGGGGGCGTAAAATTGGTGATGGTAAGTGAAGTCCATGGATGGGGGATAGAGGTTCGGAGATCAGAACCATCGAAGCAGATTCACGAGAGCTCACATGCTGCATCAAATACGTTACTTCTTTGATTGCTCTGTAAAAAAAAAAAAAGTTAGATTGCATATAACCATCGTGAATCATGTGCCAAACCAGAAAGTCAGAGAGTGTGTGGAAATTATGTCAAAAAAGAGTTAGGTTGCATATCAACATCATGAATCATGTGCCAGTGACAAGAAAGTCAAAGAGGGTGTGGAAATTATGAGATTGAAGAATGATAAGGTTCTCATCATTTTCATTTCTAGCCACTCAAACTTAACAGGAACTTATGTCCTGTTTGGTATTTGTTCAACCATGTTCCCGTGTTGTTCCAATAGTACTACAGTAGCACTATTTCAGTCCAAAATATGTCAGTAACGGAACACTTTCAAAACAAATTCACTACCCAATGCTGGAACAAGATTTTGGTGTTCCATTTTGCACCAGCCCTATCTTAACTGTAGCTAAGCCCTAATCTCGTTTATCATCCATCCCAAATCATTTCAGTCTCCCAAGCGCCTAATCTCTATTTCGCTCTCTCTCTCTCTCTGCAACTGCCTCCATGTATGGGTTTTGTTTTAATTATTTTTAGGGCAAATCATTTCAGCCTCCCACCTCCATCTCTATTCTCGCTCTCTCTCTGCAACTGCCTCCATGTTTGGGTTTTGTTTTAATTTTTTTTAGGGCAAATCATTTCAGCCTTCCACCTCCATCTCTATTCCCGCTATCTCTCTCTGCAACTGCCTCCATGTATGGGTTTTGTTTTAATTATTTTTAGGGCAAATCATTTTAGCCTCCCACCTCCATCTCTATTCTCGCTCTCTCTCTGCAACTGCTTCCATGTATGGGTTTTGTTTTAATTTTTTTTACGGCAAATCATTTCAGCCTTCCACCTCCATCTCTATTCTCGCTCTCTCTCTCTGCAACTTCCTACATGTATGTGTTTTGTTTCAATTATTTTTAGGGCAAATCATTTCAGCCTCCCACCTCCATCTCTGTTCTCGCTCTCTCTCTGCAACTGCCTCCATGTATGGGTTTTGTTTTAATTATTTTTAGGGCAAATCATTTCAGCCTCCCACCTCCATCTCTATTCTCGCTCTCTCTCTCTGCAACTGCCTCCATGTATGGGTTTTGTGTTTAATTTTTTTTTTAGGGCAAATCATTTCAGCCTCCCAATTGCCCTAGTCTCTCTCTCCTCTCTCTGCAACTGCAATTCTGTGTGTATGGGTTTTGTTTTAATTTTTTTCCTAAATCAACTAATCAAGCTCTGTAATTCTTGTTTTGCAAACTAATTAAGCTCTGTAATTAATTTATTTTAATCATAAATAATAATAATAATAATAAATTCTATTCCAAAATTCTCACTCCAAATTTTCATCCCAAACCTGTTTTGATCTCATTTCAGAACACTACACCACACAAAACTTCCCAAACGGGCCCTTATCATTACGTTCTCATCATTTTCATTTCTATCCCACTGAAACTCAAAACACATTTGAAATGCATACAAAGAACCCTTTATGGCTACCTGGTCTCATCACACACATGAAGAACAAGAAAAAGCTAGCTAAGAGGAAGAGAGAAAGTGGGGTCATGAAGGTTGTGTTCAAGAATAAGAAGAAGAAGGAGACCAGGGACACTTCTTCATTACCACCTTCCAACACTTCTTCATCGTCCACTTCTCCACCTGCTGCAGCAGGATGCGACTATGAAGTGTTCTTGAGTTTTAGAGGCCCAGACACTCGTAAAACCTTCACTGACTACCTCTACAACGACCTTGTGGCTGCAGGAATTCACACGTATAGAGACGACAATGAGCTTCGCATTGGAGAGAAGATAAGCGATGAGCTTCTCGAGGCTATACAGCACTCAAAGATATCCATACCAGTCTTTTCCAAACACTATGCTTCAAGTAAGTGGTGCCTGCTTGAGGTCACCAAGATGGTTGAGTGTAGGAGGACTCGGGGGCAAATCATATTACCCATTTTCTACGACGTTGAACCATCCGATGTGCGAAAGCAGACGGGGACTTACGAAAAGGCCTTCCGGCAGCACAAGAAGCATTTTGATAGTGCTATTGTGGAGGAGTGGAAGAAGGCATTGAGGGAGGTTGGAGAATTGAAGGGTTGGGAAGTTGCTGATAGGTAATTGTGTATATTTACTTATTCTACTATCTTTAACTTTTCTGATTTTTTTTCCTTTAATGTAAATTTTCACTATTAGCACCAACTATGAACTTGTTTGATTCAGTTCATCTCTCAAATTTGACACTATAATTTTTATATTTTTTGGTAAGTAAATTAAACACTAGAAAATACACTATTTAAATTAATTTACAAACAATGGTTTTTCACAAATTGTTAATCAAATAATTTTGAAACTACTTTCTCTTGTTCAGTTTTCTAAAAATAGGACATATATAGATATATGTGACATCAATTATGTTTGGCAGTTATCAAGGACAACTGGTAAAGGAGGTTGTTTCAGAGGTATGGGAAGAGTTGAAAAGGAACACATTGGTTGTAAATGAATGCTTAGTCGGAATTGAAGATCATGTAGAAGAAATGATGAAATTGTTGAGTGTTAATTCCAATGATGTAAGGATTGTGGGAATCCATGGCATGGGAGGAATTGGCAAGACCACTATAGCCAAGGTCATCTACAACCAACTCTCCCAACGTTTCAAATCATGTTGCTTCCTTGCAGATGTTAGAGAAACAGCACAACAACAGAATGGTTTTGTTCATTTGCAAAACCAACTTATATCTAGCATCTTAAAACAGAGATGCTCTGACTTAATTAGGTCTATGGACGAAGGAATTAATGCAATCAAAGACAGATTTTCTGGGAGGAAAGTTCTTGTCGTCGTTGATGATGCCGATCACAGAGATCAGCTTCAAGCACTTGCACTTGTGGGAAAGTGTGATTGGTTTGGTTCAGGAAGTAGGATAATTGTCACAACTAGAAACAAAGAGATTCTAAATCTGGCTGGGGTCATTTGGACTTATGAACCAAAGCAATTGGATTCTAATCTATCTCTTCAACTTTTCAGCAGGTATGCTTTTAGAAGGGACTATCCCCCAGAAGACTATGATACTTTATCTAGAGATGTTGTGTCCACTACTGGAGGGTTACCTTTGGCTCTTGAGATTATTGGTTGTCTTTTTATTAGCATTGAAAAAGAGGAATGGGAAGATAAATTAGAGGAGTTGAAAATAGCACCAAATGAAGAAGTGCAACAGAAGCTGAAAATAAGTTACGATGCATTGAATGATAAACAAAAACAGATATTTCTCGATATTGCCTGTCTTTTCATTGGAGTGGACAGAAGGATTGCTTCCCACATGTGGGATTATCCCAAAAGTGATATTGGAGTTCTTATGCGCCGGTCATTGGTAAAAATTGGAGATAACAATGAGCTAAGGATGCATGATCAGCTTAGAGACCTTGGCAGGGACATTGTCCGTCAAGAAAATAATAATAATCCGGAGGAGCGTAGCAGGGTGTGGTTTCATGAAAAAGCCTATGAAATATTGGAGACTCGTACAGTAAGACTCAACTTCTTCCTGAATGGATGTCCTTTATTAAGCATTAATTTTCTTGTCTCCTTACTAACTCAATTATGTATGAACTACTCGAAAGTTGAAATAATAATCGGAATTTTCTCAGAGGGAGTGAAAATCATCATTAATACTAGTTTTTTGGGACACTATAATATTGCATCAGTATGTTTTTTACTAATCTAAAGTTTCTCTTTCTGCAGGGAACAAAAAAGGTTGAAGCTATCTGTGTTAACTTTGAATCAGAGTCACAGGCATGCTGTCTTACAAATGCAGAATTTGTAAACCTATCTAATCTAAGGTTCCTTCAAATAGACTTTACAAAGCTGGAAGGAGATTTTAAGGGTCATCTTTTAAAGTTAAGATGGCTTCGCTGGAATGGATGCCCTGAAGTTTTTAGACCAACCAATTTTAACCTAAAGAATCTGGTCATTCTTGATTTATCACGAAGCAAGGTCACAGAAGCCTGGGAGGGTTGGAATCATATCAAGGTGTCATCATTTTCTCTGCTTTTGTTTCGTGTGTCTCATTACATAATTCTTTGTAATTGATTGTAAGCAATTCTCTTTTTCGTTATTTCGCAGATTGCAAAAAAGTTGAAAGTTCTAAATCTCACAGGTTGCGGCTGCATGGTTACAACTCCTGAATTCTCTGCATATTCAACTTTCGAAAGATTGATTCTTGAAGACTGTGAGAGTTTGGTTTATATTGACCCATCTATTGGGCATCTCAAGAGTCTAGTTTTCTTAAATGTGAAGAATTGTGCTAAATTCAAAAGGCTGCCTCTGGAATTCGATTCTTTGGAGGAGCTCCTCATCGATGGTACTTCTATAGAAGAAGTCCCTATTGGTAGATCTTTGACATACTTGAGCACATCATCGTGCGAATTAGTAGAAAATTTTCCAGATCTTTCTAATTTAAAAAAATTAAGGAAATTAGATACTGAGCAATGCACGAATCTGAAAGAGATTAGGGGACTTGACAAATTGGAATCCTTGGAATATCTGAATATGAGTGGGTGCATATCCTTGGAAAGATTGCCTGATCTGTCTAACTTGGAAATGCTGGAAGTATTAAGGCTCGCCGAGTGCCAGAAGCTACATGAGATTAAGGGTCTTGAGGCTTTGAAATCCTTGAAGATGCTGGTCTTGTCATCGTGCATATGCTTGGAAAGATTGCCCAATCTGTCGAACTTGGAAATGCTGGAAGTATTAAGGCTCGGTGAATGCCAGAAGTTACACGAGATTGAGGGTCTTGAGGCTCTGAAATCCTTGAAGATTTTGGTCTTGTCATCGTGCATATCCTTGGAAAGATTGCCCGATCTGTCGAACTTGGAAATGCTGGAAGTATTAAGGCTCACCGAGCTCCAGAAGCTACATGAGATTAAGGGTATTGAGGCTTTGAAATCCTTAAAGATGCTGGACTTGTCATCTTGTATCTCTTTGGAAAGATTGCCTGATCTGTCGAACTTGGAAATGCTGACAGAATTATATCTCGCCCAATGCCACAAGCTACACGAGGTTGAGGGTCTTGAGGCTTTGAAATCCTTGTGGATGTTGGACTTATCATCGTGCAAATCCTTGGAAAGGTTGCCTGATGTATCGAAGTTGGAATCCCTGGAGTCGCTAGACTTGTCATATTGCACAGCTTTGAAGACGATACTTGATCTGTCATCTTTGAAATCCCTGGATTTGCTGCGGGACTTGTCATATTGCACAGCCTTGGAAAGATTGCCTCATCTGTCGAACTTGGAAAAGCTGGAAAGATTAAAGCTCACCCACAGCCAGAAGCTACATGAGATTGAGGGTCTTGAGGCTTTGAAATCCTTGAAGATGCTGGACTTGTCATCGTGCATATCCTTGGAAAGATTGCCTGATTTGTCGAAGTTTGAAATGCTGGAAGAATTAACGCTTGCCGAGTGCCAGAAGTTACATGACATTGAGGGTCTTCAGGCTTTGAAATCCTTGAGTAAGCTGAACTTGTCATTTTGTATATCCTTGGAAATATTGCCTGATCTGTCAAAGTTGGAAATGCTGAAAGAATTAAAGCTCACCAAGTGCCAGAAGCTACATGAGACTGAGGGTCTTGAGGCTTTGAAATCCTTAAAGATGCTGGTCTTGTCATCGTGCAAATCCTTGGAAAGATTGCCTGATCTGTCGAACTTGGAAATGCTGGAAATATTAAATCTCGCCGAGTGCCAGAAGCTACGTGAGATTGAGGGTCTTGAGGCTTTGAAATCCTTGCGCATACTGGACTTGTCATCATGCATATCCTTGGAAAGATTGCCTGATCTGGCGAACTTGGAAGTGCTAGAAGAATTAGATCTCGACAAGTGCCAGAAGCTACAAAAGATTGAGGGTCTTGGGGCTTTGAAATCCTTGTGGTTGCTGGATTTGTCATCATGCATATCCTTGGAAAGATTGCCTGATCTGTCGAACTTGGAATCCCTGGAGTCGCTAGACTTGTCATATTGCATAGCATTTGAGAGGATACCTGATCTGTCGGCTTTGAAATCCTTGAAGACACTGGACTTGTCATATTGCACAGCCTTGGAAAGATTGTCTGGTCTATCAAACTTGGAAATGCTGGAAGACTTAAAGCTCACCCACAGCCAGAAGCTACATGAGATTGAGGGTGTTGAGGCTTTGAAATCGTTGAGGAAGCTGGACTTGTCATCGTGCATATCCTTGGAAAGATTGCCTGATCTGTCTAACTTGGAAATGCTGGAAGAATTAAATCTCGCTGAGTGCCAGAACCTATATGAGGTTGAGTGTCTAGAGGCTTTGAAATCCTTGAAGAAGCTGGTCTTGTCATCTTGCAAATCCTTAGAAAGATTGCCTGATCTGTCAGAGTTGGAATCCCTGGAGTTGCTAGACTTGTCATATTGTGTAGCCTTTGAGAGGATACCTGATCTGTCGGCTTTGAAATCCTTGAACACGCTGGACTTGTCATATTGCACAGCCTTGGAAAGATTGTTTGGTCTATCAAACTTGGAAATGCTGGAAGTCTTAAAGCTCACCCACAACCAGAAGCTACATGAGATTGAGGGTCTTGAGGCATTGAAATCCTTGAGCAAGCTGGACTTGTCATCATGCATATCCTTGGAAAGATTGCCTGATCTGTCGAACTTGGAAATGCTGGAAGAATTAAATCTCACCAATTGCCAGAAGCTATATGAGATTGAGGGTCTTGAGGCTTTGAAATCCTTGAAGATGCTGGTCTTGTCAGCGTGCACATCCTTGGAAATATTGCCCGATCTTTCAAACTTGGAAATGCTGGAAGTATTAAATCTCGCCAAGTGCCAGAAGTTACATGAGATTGAGGGTCTTGAGGCTTTGAATTCCTTGCGCATACTGGACTTGTCATCGTGCTTGTCCTTGGAAAGATTGCCTGATCTGTCGAACTTGGAACTGCTAGAAGAATTAAATCTCGACTAGTGCCAGAAGCTATAAAAGGTCGAGTGAGGCTTTGAAATCCTTGTGGTTGCTGGACTTGTCATCGTGCATATCCTTGGAAAGATTGACTGATCCGTCGAAGTTAGAATCCCTGATGTCAATTTGCTTGTCATATTGTACAGCCTTGGAGAGGATATCTGATCTATCAGCTTTGAAATCCTTGAAAAAGTATTCAGGAAAAAAAAAAAAAAAATCCTTGAAAAAGCTGGACTTGTCATATTGCACAGCCTTGGAAGGATTGCCTAGTCTATCAAACTTGGAAATGCTGAGAGACTTAAAGCTCGCCCACAGCCAGATATCCTTGAGGGAGCTGGACTTGTCATCATGCATATCCTTGGAAAGATTGCCTGATCTGTCGTAGTTGGAAATGCTGGAAGAATTAAAGCTCACCAAGTGCCAGAAGCTATATGAGATTCAGGGTCTTGGGGCTTTGAAATCCTTGAAGATGCTGGTCTTGCCATTGTGCAAATCCCTGGAAAGATTGCCCGATCTGTCGAGTTGGAAATGCTGGAAGAGTTGAATCTCGCCAAGTGCCAGAAGCTACATGAGATTGAGGGTCTTGAGGCTTTGAAATCCTTGTGCATGCTGGACTTGTCAAGTTGGCATCATGCATATCCTTGGAAAGATTGCCCGATCTATCATACTTGGAAAATGTTAGAAGACTTGAGGCTCGCCTACTGCCAGAAACTACATGAGATTGAGGGTCTTGAGGCTTTGAAATCCATGAAGATGCTGGACTTGACATCGTGCAGTCTTGGAGAGGATACCTAATCTGTCGAGACTAAGAACTTTAAAGGAATTACGACTTCATAACTGTGAGAAACTTGGTGAGATTTGCAGACTTGGAGAACTGAAATTATTGGACGTTTCTGGATGCATGTCATTACGAAATTTACTACATTTAGAACATCAGAGAAGTGTTTTACATGCAACCTGATGGCATGGTAATTATCACTGTCTATATCCTAGAAGATTTCATTTGGAGGACTTTGTGTATGGCTACTTATGTATTTTTAATATCTTCTCAAAATATTTCCGTAAGATTCTTGATAGCAAGAATTTTGAAGCTTCAAATTATTTTCTATAACAATTTAAAAATAAAAAAATTAAAATATATATTTAAGCTTTATGATTTTATTTGATTTTTGGTGCAGGAAATGGGCATAGAGTGATGAGACAGTGGACTTACGAAAAGGCCTTCTGGCAGCACAAGAAGCATTTTGTTAGTGCTATTGTGGAGGAGTGGAAGGAGGCATTGAAGGAGGTTGGAAAATTGAAGGGATGCGAAGTGAAGAAAGTTGCTGATGGGTAATTGTGTACATCTACTTGTATATACTGATTATGCTATTTTAACTTTTCTGATTATTTTCCATTACATGTATATTTTCCTTATTAGCCCCAACTATAGATGGACTTATTTGGTTCGGTCCGCTGAAACTAGGCACTAGTTTAACTTAGTTTACAAACATAAGTTTCAGAAAATTGTCAATCAAATGGATTTTCTATCAATTTTTACCCATATATATGAAATCAGTTATGTTTGGCAGGCATCAAGGAAGACTGATAAAGATGGTTGTTTCAAAGGTATGGGGAGAGCTAAAAAGGAACTCATTGGTTGTAAATAATGAATGCTTAGTTGGAATTGATGATCATGTTGAAGAAATGATGAGATTTTTGAGTGTTAATACCAGTGATGTAAGGATTGTGGGAATCCATGGCATGGGAGGAATTGGCAAGACCACTATTGCCAAGGTCATCTACAACCAACTCTCCCAACAGAATTTTGAATTCTGTTGCTTCCTTGCAGATGTTAGAGAAGCAGCACAACAACCCAATGGTATTGTTAATTTACAAAATCAACTTATATCTACCATCTTAAAATGGAGATGCGCCAACATTAGTAGTATGGATGAAGGAATTAATGTAATCGAAGATCGATTTTCTGGGAAGAAAGTTCTTGTTGTCGTTGATGATGTAGATCAAAGAATTCAACTTCATGCACTTGTGGGAAAGTGTGATTGGTTTGGTTCAGGAAGTAGGATAATTGTCACAACTAGAAACAAAGAGATTCTAAATATCCCTGAGGTAGATTGGACTTATGAACCGAAGGAATTGGATTCTAATCAATCTCTTCAACTTTTCAGCAAGCATGCTTTTAGAAGGGACCATCCCCCAGAAGACTATGATACTCTCTCTAGAGATGTTGCGTCCAAAACTGGAGGGTTGCCTTTGGCTCTTGAGATTATTGGTTCTTTTTTATCTGGCAAGAGAAGAGCGGTGTGGAATGAGACATTGAAGAAGTTGAAGAGAATACCGGATGGACAAGTCCAGAAGAAGCTGAGAATAAGTTACGATGCATTAGAATATGAACAACAACAGATATTTCTCGATATTGCATGTCTTTTCATTGGTGTGGATAAAAGAATTGCTTTCCACATGTGGGATGCCTGCGAATTTTATCCGGAAAATGGAATTGAAGTTCTTCTTCTCATGTCCCTGGTGAAAATTGGAGACAACAATGAGCTAAGGATGCATGATCAGCTTAGAGACATTGGCAGGGATATTGTCCGTCAAGAAAATTTCAAGGAGCCGGGGGAGCGTAGTAGGGTGTGGTTGCATGATGAAGCCTTCGACATATTGGAGACTCATACAGTAAGATTCAACTTCCTCATGAAAGTTGAAATAATAACTGGAATTTCCTCAGAGAGTGTAATTCATCATTAATACTAGTTTTTGTGTCCACCATAGTTGTAGCCTTAGTATATTTTTTACTTATCTAAAGATTCTTTTTTGGCAGGGAACAAGAAAGGTTGAAGCTATCTGTGTTAACTTTCAAGCAGAGTCACAGGCAAAGTTAAGACGGCTTACAAATGAAGAATTTGCAGACATATCTAATCTAAGGTTCCTTCAAATGGACTATGCAAACCTGGATGGAGATTTTAAGGGTCTTCTTTCAAAGTTAAGATGGCTTTGCTGGAACGGATGCCCTCAAATTTTTGGACCAACCAATTTTCATCTAAAGAATCTGGTCATTCTTGATTTATCATGGAGCAAGGTCACAGAAGCCTGGGAGGGTTGGAATCATATCAAGGTTTCATCAATTTCTATGCTTTTCTTTCACATGTCTCATCACAAAATTCTTTGTAATTGATTCTAAGCAATTCTCTTTTTCCTTATTTTGCAGATTGCAAGAAAGTTGAAAGTTCTAAATCTCACGAGTTGCAAATACATGGTTAGAACTCCTGACTTCTCTGCATATGCAACTTTAGAAAGGTTGATTCTTGAAGGTTGTGAGAATTTGGTTCATATTGACCCATCAATTGGGTATCTCAAGAGTCTAGTTTTGTTAAATGTGAATTATTGTTTTCTAGTCCAAAGTCTGCCTACTATCAACAAATCATCTTAAATGTAATGACACAAAAAAATTTGTTTTCACCCAAAAGAAAAATAAAAATAAAAATAAAAAAAAATAATTAATAACAATATATCCTACTATCAACAAATCATCTATAAAATCATATGAACCAGATTTTATGTAATTGGGTTTATTTAAAATAAAAATAATTAATAAGTATATATAAGGATTACACATTAAACAATAAAAGTCAACTTTAGTATTAGCATATTAGGATTTTAGCGGAGTAGTTTGAGATAGAGGGAGGGTTAAATTAGAATTTGATTTGCATCTTTTGAGTTGACTCAGTAACTAATCAAATTTTTAAATTTTTATTATTTTTTATTTTAGGGATACTTGTCACATTATTTATACGTCACATCAAAAGTAAGTATGAACTTTTTATTTATTAGTGAATAGTCAAGCATTGTTCATAATTTATCACCTTAGTTATAGGCCGTTGACCCAGAGAATGAGCAACAACAATGTCTTGAAAGGAACTGAAAGACCATAATTGAATAGCGAGTTACTTGGGTCCTAGGCTTGGAGCTGCCTCTAACAATAGAACCAATAAGTTTGGACATAGTCCAATAATAACAACTCTGTTGAAAACGGAATCACTGAAATCATTTGGTAGTATCCAAAATACATGTTTACATATGAGAAGCCTTGTTTTCCAGTGGCTGCTGCCATTTACACAGAATTTTATTTTTGGAACCTTTTCTGACGAATTCCAAAACAATTTTATTTTTCGTTCGTCTAATAGCAAATGAATCGAGTTATTTATTAAAAATTCAAACCAAGCTCATCAAAGACTTGGTTTTTTTTTTTTTTTTTAAACCAACCGAGTCAAACTCGAGCTCATGCTCACAATTTCATTTAGATAAAGAGTCCAAATAGTGTCAATTAGAATAAACAAACTCAGTAGTATTTTTCACATTCACAAATACACCACCTCATATAATTTCAGGCGAGCGCTGTCCCAGAATTACCTAACCTAAACGGCTACAACTTTAAATTATGTATGGATTGTAATAGGCAGAATCAAATCAACATCTCAGCATACCTATTAAAATACAGCCCATAATTGCTAGCATGTCTGAAATTTCGTTTACTTCTTCATTTTCTTGGGTATTCAAAAATTAATGTCAGGATATTCGGAATCAATTAGACCAATATGTTTGGTTGCAGAAGAAAGACGAGGGAGAATGATAATCACATGTTATATATATATATATATATATATATATATATATATATATATATATATATATTTTCTTTTTTTCGATTTGAAAGCACATGATAGTGGGTCCTCCTAACCTTTGATACCAGCTGGAAAGCACCAGACTTTAATGGATGGATTGGGAGGTCGAGAGGGTTAGGTTGCAGGAATATGATCCTTTGCTTGTGCCTTTTGGTGTAGGTGTGAAAATTAAGAAAGTGAAAGGATTCATTTTTTCAATGTCCACTGAAACTTAAAACACTCTTTTGTATAAAAACGCAAAATATATAATTAATTATTTATTTTTTATTTTTAATAATATGTTAAGATATATAAATGTGTAAAATTATTTTGTATTTTATCCAATCTTTTTACACCGGCACATCAACATATTTCATTTCTCTTCCCTTTTTTTCATTCCATTAACGAATCAACCAGTTTTCATTCCATTAACGAATCAACTAGTTTGTAAAAATTATGTAGAGTCTAAACATGACACTTGTTAATTGTTATTAAGGATATATTTTTATACAAAAAATTTTATATAAAAAATATAAAACAATAAATAATTAAAATTTTTGTATAGGCAATCTCTAATGGATGGATTAGAATGTACCCTTCTCAGCATCCAAGCACCTCAAGAAAGCACATGTTAATGGGCCCTACCTTTCAAAAAAATAAAAATGTTAGTGGGTCCTCCTAACCTTCGATAGCAGCTGGAAAGCACCAAACTTTAATGGATGGATTGGGAGATGAATTGGGTTAGGTTCTGATCCTTTGCTTGTGGCTTTTGGTCTAGGTGTGGAAATTAAGAAATTGAAGGATTCATTTCTTCAATCCCCACTGAAACTTAACAAGAACTCATCACTGTGTAAGCCTGTCCTCTCACTGCATTCGAAATGGATACAGAGAATTGGTTATGGCTATCTTGTCTCATCACACTTGCTGCAATTCTCATACCCTTTCTTGTTTTCATCAAGAAGAAGATCAACAACACATCAGCACCTCCCTTGAACACTACTTCATTAGCACCTTTGAACTCTTCTTCATTGCCAACCCCTTCACCTGTAGGGTGGGACTATGAAGTGTTCTTAAGCTTCAGAGGCGAAGACACTCGTAAAAACTTCACTGACTACCTCTACAACGACCTTGTGGATGCAGGAATTCGCACGTTTAGAGACAACGATGAGCTTCGCATTGGAGAGAAGATAGGTCCTGAGCTTCTCAAGGCAATACAGCACTCCAAGATATCTATTCCAGTCTTTTCCAAAGACTATGCTTCAAGTAAATGGTGCCTGCTTGAGCTCACCAAGTTGGTTGAGTGTAAGAGGACTTTGGGGCAAATCATATTACCCATTTTCTACGATGTTGAACCGTCCGATGTGCGAAAGCAGACGGGGAGTTATGGAAAGGCATTCCAGGAACACAAGAAGCATTTTGATAGTGCTACTGTAGAGGGGTGGAGGGAGGCATTGAGGGAGGTTGGAGAATTGAAGGGATGGGAAGTGAGCAAAGTTGCTGATGGGTAATTGTGTACATTTACTTGTATATATTGATCATGCTATTTTAACTTTTCTGATTATTTTCCCTTTAACATGTATATTTTCCTTATTAGCACCAACTACAAACTTGTTTGGTTTAGTTCTCTGGAATTAGGCACTAGTTTTACTTAATTTACAAACAAAAGTTTTCAGAAAATTGTCAATCAAATGATTTTTCAAACTTCTTTCTATCATTTTTTCCCTCATACATATGACATCAGTTATGTTTGGCAGGCATCAAGGGAGACTGATAAAGATGGTTGTTTCAAAGGTATGGGGAGAACTGAAAAGGAACTCACTGGTTGTAAATGAATGCTTAGTTGGAATTGATAATCATGTTGAAGAAATGATGAGATTGTTGAGCGTTAATTCCAGTGATGTAAGGTTTGTGGGAATCCATGGCATGGGAGGAATAGGCAAGACCACCATTGCCAAGGTCATCTACAACCAACTCTCCCAACATTTTGAATTCTGTTGCTTCCTTGCGGATGTTAGAGAAACAGCACAGCAACACAATGGTCTTGTTAATTTGCAGAGTCAACTTATATCTACCATCTTAAAACGGAGATGCGCTGACATTAGAAATATGGACGAAGGAATTAATGTAATCAAAGATCGATTTTCCGGGAAGAAAGTTCTTGTTGTCGTTGATGATGTCGATCAAAAAATTCAACTTCATGCACTTGTGGGAAAGTGTGATTGGTTTGGTTCAGGAAGTAGGATAATTGTCACAACTAGAAACAAAGAGATTCTAAATATCCCTGAGGTAGATTGGACTTATGAACCGAAGGAATTGGATTCTAATCAATCTCTTCAACTTTTCAGCATGCATGCTTTTAGAAGGGACCACCCCCCAGAAGACTATGATACTCTCTCTAGAGATGTTGCGTCCACAACTGGAGGGTTGCCTTTGGCTCTTGAGATTATTGGTTCTTTTTTATCTGGCAAGAGTGAAGCGGTGTGGAATGAGACATTGAAGAAGTTGAAGAGAATACCGGATGGACAAGTCCAGAAGAAGTTGAAAATAAGTTACGATGCATTAGAATATGAACAACAACAGATATTTCTCGATATTGCATGCCTTTTCATTGGAGTGGATAAAAGAATTGCTTTCCACATGTGGGATGCCTGCGAATTTTATCCGGAAAATGGAATTGAAGTTCTTCTTCTCATGTCCCTGGTGAAAATTGGAGACAACAATGAGCTAAGGATGCATGATCAGCTTAGAGACATTGGCAGGGATATTGTCCGTCAAGAAAATTTCAAGGAGCCGGGGGAGCGTAGTAGGGTGTGGTTGCATAATGAAGCCTTCAATATACTGGAGACTCATACAGTAAGATCCAACTTCTTCATGAATGGATGTCCCTTATTAAGCATTAATTTTCTTGTTACCTTACTAACTCAATTATGTATGAACTACTTGAAAGTTGAAATAATAACTGGAATTTCCTCAGAGAGAGTGTAAATCATCATTAATACTAGTTTTTTGGGACACTATTATAATCATAACATTAGTATATTTTTTACTGATCTAAGGTTCTCTTTCGGCAGGGAACAAGAAAGGTTGAAGCTCTGTGTGTTGACTTTGGATTAGAGACACAAGCATCCCCTCTTACAAATGAAGAATTTGCAGGCCTATCTAATCTAAGGTTCCTTCAAATGGACTATGCAAACCTGGATGGAGATTTTAAGCGCCTTCTTTTAAAGTTAAGATGGCTTCGTTGGAATGCATGCCCTCCCATTTTTAGACCAACCAATTTTCATCTAAAGGATCTGGTCATTATTGATTTATCATGGAGCAAGGTCACAGAAGCCTGGGAGGGTTGGAATCATATCAAGGTTTCATCAATTTATCTGCTTTTGTTTCGTGTGTCTCATCACATAATTCTCTGTAATAAAATTTAAGCAATTCTTTTTTTCCTTATTTCGCAGATTGCAAGAAAGTTGAAAGTCCTAAATCTCACAGGTTGCGGTTACATGGTTAGAACTCCTGACTTCTCTGCATGTATAACTTTAGAAAGATTGATTCTTGAAGATTGTGAGAATTTGGTTCATATCGACCCATCAATTGGGTGTCTCAAGAGTCTAGTTTTCTTAAATGTGAAGAATTGTGCTAAACTTAAGAGGCTGCCTCTGGAATTTGATTCTGTGGAAGGTTTAACAGAGCTGCTCATTGATGGTACTTCTATACAAGAAGTCCCTATTGGTAGAGGTGTTATGAAGAAGCTTGAAATTCTTAGTGCCACTTGTTGTGGGTCGTTGACTCAAATTTCTACCTCCATCAGCCATCTAAAATCTCTTTCTGACCTCACATTTGATTTTACAAGTATTACTGAACTACCAGACTCAATTGGCTCGCTAGTGAAATTGCGATGCTTGTCACTAAGGTATTGTTCACAATTAAAAGAAATTCCAGACTCCATTGGGAAATTGGAATCATTAATTGAGCTGCGCTTATTTGCAGCAAAATTTACAGATTTACCTGATACTATTGGCAACCTAAAAAGTTTGAAAGTTCTTGAGATTGATCATTCTTCCATAATGAAGTTACCTAGTACCATCGGAATGTTACTAAAACTTGAAGAGTTACATGCCTCACATTGTTACAATTTGGAAGGTGCAATTCCCAGTACTGTTGAGAGACTATCCTCTCTTAGAATCTTAAGAATAGATTGCACAAATATTTGTAGCCTACCAACAAGCATTTGTGGGCTTTCTCACCTCCAAACCCTTGATTTACTCGGTTGCAGAGAGCTTCAGTTTCTTCCAGAGCTCCCCTCTAGTCTAGTAAGTCTACGAGTCACTTGCATGTCAATGGAGACATTTCTAAACTTTCCTAGCCTGATGAATCTAAAGGAATTGTGCTTTTCTAAGTGCTCTAAGCTGTTGAAAATTCCTGAAGATATTGGAAAGTTAGCCAAACTGGAGACCTTGACCTTGTATGGTATTAGCATTAGCATCCTACCAATGGAGCTTGGTGCCCTTTCTAGGCTTAAGGAGCTCACTATTCAAAATTGTGAACAACTTCAATGCCTTCCAACTCTTCCCTCGAGCCTGTTCAAACTTTTTCTTCAAGTTTGTGATTCAATGAAGAGGCTGCCAGATCTTTCAAATTTGAAAAATTTATCAGAACTAATGCTTGGCCAGTGCTCAGAGTTAACGGAGATTCAAGGCCTCGGAAGATTAGAACTCCTAATAAGTTTGGACGTATCTGAGTGCATAAAGTTGCGTATGCTTGAAGGGCTAGAACAGCTAGGATCTTTAAGATACTTGAGGACATCATGGTGCGAATCACTTGAAACATTACCAGATCTTTCAAATTTAAAGAAGTTAAGGAAATTAGTTTCTTTGAATTGCGAGAAGCTGAATGAAATTAGGGGCCTTGACAGATTGGAGTCCTTGGAATATTTGAATGTGAGTGGGTGCATATCCTTGAAAAGATTGCCTGATCTATCGAAATTGGAAATGCTGAAAGAATTAAACCTCGCCCAGTGCCAGAAGCTACATGAGATACAGGGTCTTAAGGCTTTGAAATCCTTGAAGATGTTGGACTTGTCATCATGCACAGCCTTGGAGAGGATACTTGATCTGTCGAGACTAGAAAATTTAAAGGAATTACGACTTTGTAACTGTGCGAAACTTACTGAGATTTGGGGACTCGATGAACTAAAATTTTTGACATTCTTGGACATTTCTGGATGCAAGTCACTAGGAAAATTACCAGACATTTCGAACATCAGAAAAGTTAAGCGCTGAGAGCAAAATTGCAGGCTGTCGGATTTTAGTGTTTAACATGCAACCTGATCGCATGGTACTTATCTATTTTCTGCTAATCTAAGTCGTCATTGTATGATGTTTTTTTTTTTTTTCCTTATTTGATAGCTAACTGTTTGTCAGGTAATTGACGAAAACATCCATGCATGTCAGTAATCAATTATATATTGAACACTAGTAGCAATATATATTATTGATGTGCCTTTTACCAATTGTCATGACAACTTGTGAGAAAATCACCATGAATCAGTTTTTCATAGTTGTACAATTGTAACTTGGACCGCTTTATTGATTTTTGGCTCCTTGATTTGAGTAATTATTGGGTGCGCCAGGCATAACACTTCATTGGTAATGCCCATGCAATGAAAACGCACCATATCAGCTTCTTGTTAGCATTTTCACACATAAAGCAGCTCTATTTTTCAAGCGGATGCAGACTAAACCGCCTTAAGGGAGCTTCGCCCTTGTTAATTTTGTTCCACCTGCGTGTAAAAAATGTTGACAAGAAGCTCATATGGTGTGTTTTCATTGGGTGGGCATACCAATGACGTGGTATACCTGGCACACCCAATATCTTCTTGTTTGTTTTATTACCTACTCCTCTCTCTTTCTCTAGAATTTGAAAGTTGCTATACCTGCTGCCCCACCTATTGCCTCTGCAAGTGTGATAAGAGGTGGAAGGGGAACAGGGGTTTTAGGCAACAAATGCACAAGGTTTTTTAAGTTTTAAAGTATGCATTTAATATATAATTTTTACTATGCTTACTGATGTGTTTAATGTGTTGTATTTGTATTAAAATTAGTGTTGTTTTATGGTGTTATAGGTGAGCCGTAGGAGTGTCATGGCAACAACTAGCAATGTAGGCCAAAGTCATGAGGTAAAAACAAAATATTGCTTTTGGTATTTGGTTGACTGAATGTTTTTGGTGTAGCCCAAAGTCATGAGGTACAGACACAATATTGTTACTTCAAACAAATTTGTCTATGTTGTTAATGGGTTTTTTTATTTTTTATGTATATATTTATTTTTAGGTCAACAACAGTGGATTGGTTTGGCAAATGCATCAACATTTCCATTCAAACATGTCCTAATACTCAAGGGTCATCTGCAGGATATACCAAGTTTACTTCAAACCATTTTATTTTATTTTAATTGAAGTAGTTAATTTGTCAGGTCACAATGTTTGACATAACATCTTAGATATATCTGGAGGATTTTTTTGGCGTATTTATTTTATATTTTATTTTAATTAAAGTTGTTCATTTGTCAGGGTCACAATGTTTGAGCTTAGATACATTTGGAGGACCTTTTTTTCTGGTGCATAGCAGTGGCCATTTGTTTTGTGCATAGCAGCTTCGGGGCGTCGTGTTTTGGTGCATAGCAGTATAGAACCTTTGATGGTGGCATGTATTGTGGCAAGCGCTATATTTTTGGTGAATGGATATGCAAACTGTGTATTTGGTTGACTGAATGTATTTTGGATCGGTTTTTTGGTGTGGAAATAGTTTTTTTCGGATAATCAAACTGTGCTAATGTTTACTGGTGGAATGGACGAACAAAGTGTTTATTGTGTTCACTTTATTGAATGTGTCTCTCATGTGAATTTATTGAATAGAAATGTATTGTGTCCTGGTATAGCTATGGAAAACTGGTTTAGAAACTGTTATAGGTGAATTTATTGAATGTGTGTTTATGAGTTTAAGTCTGCTGTGTCCTACTGTGCCCAGAGAAATTTAGTGTGCCCGGTCCACAGAACCATTTATGACTACAAAAGAACTATTTATGCGGTTAAGTCTGCTGCTTTTGTGGGGTTAATCTTAGTATGAGAACAATGAACTACTAAGAAGAAGAGTAAGATGGGCTTATTTATGATTGGTTCTACTAGATACAAGCATTGCCAGAAAATTTCGTTTCACCATTCTTATGTTCAGAAAATTCAAAGTCACTATCTTCTCCTTCGTTTATCTATTCAATATCATACATGAATACTTGAAAGGTTTGAGTATGTTGAAAATAATATAATTGTAACCAAATGTCGTTATACTTTTCTCTTTTAATCATGTGCAAATTAAGCACATTGAGGACCCTGTTTTTTATGAAAGGTCTGTTTTTCATATATATATATATATATATATATATATATAGTTCTCTCTCTAAGATGGAGAAGAGTGACAAAACACCTGCAACAATTACCATGACCTCAACACCTCTTTTATTTTCAAAAAATGGCGATGAACGCAACAAGTTTGACCACAATGTGTTTAGTCAACTACTAACGCCCATTACCTACCATTGATTAATTATCAACATTATTTAAGATTTTCAAAAGGGTAATCTTGACAATGAACTCAGTGCATTAAAAACGAATCAGGTTCTCACAAATTAAAGTAGAAGCGAAGAAACCATAAGATTCATAACCTCAATCTTCTGGTCTTTCGGTAAAGCAAGAGATCAAGAAATTGATGACCTTGAAGAGTAAGATGTGAAATTGTAAAGATAAAAGATTATAAACTTCAATATGCCCAGTGGATTTGATGCCCCTGTTAACCCCACGGTATCATTGCAAGTAAAGTTTTGTGTTCAATACTTAAAATTGAAACACGCGTTGGACCAAATGAAAGGCCACACGTGAGGAGAATGTTTAAAGATTTAAATAAGTGGTTGTAAGAGTAAAATGACCAAGCGGTTGACCTAGTTGGAAAAGACTTGGGCCTTGGTGATTCATGAAGCATCAGGTCTCCAAGTAAGATAAAAAAGAAGGGCAGAAGGAGGGTAATTAGGTCATTAAGTAAATTATTTAATGTCTCGCTTAACAGTCAAACCTGACGCCATTAGTCTTAAGGCTGCAATGTGAAATATTATACTATTGCATTAGCATTTTCTAGTACTAATTTTTCACTGTAGCCTTGTCTTGCTCTTTTTTCTTTTCTTTTTTTTAATAATTTTTTTTTTCTATTTTTTTTTTTTCTAGTTGGGAATTCACACACAGTGCCTCCACTAAGATTCGAACCCCTGACCTCCCTTTGGGAAGTAGAAGCCTTGTACCGCGGCCTGTTGGTACCTTGTCTTCCTTTAGTTGCTGCCATTTCTATACACAGAATTTTATCTTTGCAACCCTTTCTGGTGAATTCAGTTTTACAGTATTTTTCTATCTGTTTAATTGCAAATGAACAGATCTGTTTATCAACAATTCAGACTAAGCTCGTTAAAAACTTAATTCATGTTTATTATTAAACCAAACCGGTCGTACTCCGCTCATATTCAGAGCTTGATTTAGTTAAAGCTGATCTGGAATAGTGTCTACTAGAATAAGCAAACTCAGCAGTATATTTCAACTTGACAAATACCACACCACATATCATTCTGGGAGAGAGCCATCCCCAAATTACTCAACCTACACCTTCTCAAATCAACATGTCATCATACCAATTTAATTAAAGTTCAGAATAGCCCGTCTGAAGATTTTGTTTACTTCTTTTTCACTTTCTTTCCCATATTTCAAAAATTAATATCAGCATATTTGGAATCAATCCAGACCAATATGTTTGGTTGCAGGAGGAAGAGAAGGGAAAGGTTAGATTCTACTAATTTTGACACAAGGCTACCAGTTTTAAGTTACCTCCTCCAAGCTGAACTCGATCCAATTATTTGCCTCAAGTACAGGTGAGCTTCTCATTTCTTCTGAAAATAAAATGACGTGAGTTTTAAAACTTGATTTCTTCTTCTTTTCGTCAGGTTTGTAAATGACCAAAAATAAAGCTGAATGAGTCTATCAAGTGATGAGGTAGGGATTTCTTTTTTTTCTTTTCTTTTTTTTTTTTGTTATAAAAAGTTCTATAAATTTGCTTGGCGCTAATTCAAAATATAGTAGAGTTCATGAGAGACAACAAAGGAGTTCTGCATAGAGAAACCATTATGGAGAGAGAGAATCTGCTTATAATTGATAATGTACCAAATGAGAAGTGCACTCAGACTTGAATTCCCTCCCTGCACCCTCCGATCAATCTATTTCTTTAGCTCCCGATCAGCAGATACTGATTCCAAATCTTCCGCTGTCACTGGTTGATGCAGCTGCATTTAAAAATAAATCCCCATGTAAGGTAGCAGAACCTAATAATGTTTTTCATGGTATAAGATAATGTATTTTTTGAATGTTTTTCAAGCTTATACACAACTAAATAATCATAGAAGCACCAAGAGCTTAGCTGTAGTGATATTTCCTCTACATTCCAAATGAAAAGTTGAGGTTTCAAGTCCTCATAATGGGCAACTGTGTGCGCACACACATCCTACCAAACAACCACCTAAAAACAAAAAAGAAAAAAGAAATAAAAAATTAAAAACGTAGAAGCAAGCAGACAAAATAATGATTCAGATGGATAGGAACTCCTACGCATGGCACTATGTCAATATAGTTTATAAATATGAAGGAGTTGTCTGAGAAACCACAAAAATACATTGCCAATATCATACTCAATAAACACAGTTCCGGAAAAAATAAATAAATGTCTTTTAAAACATGTCTTTTGACAAAAGAAGCGAAAACAACTTTGACTCGGTTCCTATAAGGATCAACAACCACAACGTAATGTCGAATCATCTTACATAACTTGCAGAATCCGTAAACAAGAACACAAGTTTAATAACTACTACACAGAAATGTAAAAACCAACTATTATATGCCCTGATAAATACCCATGAGCATTATTCTATTAGCAAATCTCCAGAATATTTTAGACATGGCAGAAGAAAAATTGTATATATTATGATAAATAGTTCTGTTAGAATATTTTGGGTCATTATGTAATTACATATAGTTGGTAGGGTCATTGTGTAATTAGCTGAGACCTGTACTCTATATAAGCCACTGTACTAGGGTTTGATATGTATGAAATACACATTATGTATCCACTGTGTTATCCCTCTCTCTCTCTCTCTCTCTAGTCGCAACATGGTATCAGAGCGGTACGAGACAATGGGAAAACTAAGATTATGGTTGTGATTGCATCTGTGGTGTTCTTCTACAAATCAGAATCGAGATCGAAGTTGATTCTGTTCTTCGCGACAGGTTTGGCCGTCGTTCTGGTTTGGCGATCGGAGGTTTAAAGCTGTCGGAGGTTTGAAGCTTCTTGTCTGTCGTTCTCAAATCTGAAGCCCTTCGTTTTGTAGGCCGAGGCTGCCTTGGTTGTCGCAAGTTGCAGAGGTTGCATCATCGCGAACCCTCTCTGCTTGGTTGTTAAATCGCCGATTGTGTTGGGTTGCCGTCATCACCGCTGCAAGGGCTAGGGTGTGTACTAGCCTTGATTCTTCATTGCGAACCTTGGGTGATTGGAGTTTATGGTCGGTGGCATAGATCTGGTTCTTGCCGGCGCTGATTGTGAAGGAGAAGAGTGGTGTTTGGCTGCAAGCGTGAAGTTATTCCAACCTTGGATTACTAAAACCGGAATAGCAGAGAACTCGTTTTGATTTGGCCCGTTTGTCCAGATCCAAACCCGTTTGCCCAGATCCGGCCCATTTGCCCAGATCCGGACCGTTTGCCCAGATCCGACCCGTTTACCCAGATCCGGCCCACCTGCCCAGATCCGGATTCAGTTTTTTTTTCCCCAGGTTCGGTTTTCTTCTCTGTTTGTCCTTCTCCATGGCTGCTGCCGGTTCCGACCTGTTTTCTTCTACTTCTTTCAATCCTCCCATGACTTCTGTCAAGTTCAATGGCAAGAACTATATTTTATGGGCCAAGTCCGTAGCTATTTTTTTGAAAGCCAAAGGCTTTGGCTCTCATTTGGTTAAGGATAAGCCTAAAGAAAGTGATGCAGATTTCAGTTCATGGGACCAAAGGGATGCTCAGATCATTTCCTTAATGTTGAATTGTATTGAACAAGATATCAGCTCCCACCTATTGTATTTGGATACTGCCAAGGAGATATGGAATCGCCTCCAACAGCTATATTCAGGTACTGGTAATATCACCAGAATTTATGAGGTGTGCAGACAATTCTTTGACCTCCGGCAAGGTACTCATAGCCTTGCAGAATACTTCTCCCAGTCAATGGGAATTTGTGAAGAAATGAACTTGTATCAGCCTATCACCTCTGATGTAAAGAGCATGCAACAACAACGTGAGGATTTTAATGCTGTTCGATTTCTCATGGGGTTGTCACCTGAATATGAATCAGTTTGTGTACAGATTTTGGGTAGCCCTACACTTCCCTCTCTTCCTGATATGTTCTCCAGACTCTAGTGTGCTACTTTATCTAGTGGCGCTTCTGGGAGTGCTTCAAGTGGTGTCACTGCTCCTCCTAGCAGTGAACATTCTGCATTAGTTGTGAACCAGGGTGGTTATCAGCCTTCTCGTGGCGGTGGCGGTCGGTTTACTCGTGGTCGTGGTCGTGGTCGTGGCAGAGACTCAAAACTCTGCACTCACTGTGGTCTTACTAATCACACTGTCAATTACTGTTGGGATCTTCATGGGAAACCACCACCTTCTTCCTATGCACATCAAGTAACCTCTAATGAAGGGGATTCTTCTTTCTCTGCCACACCAAATGCTTCATAAGTGGCTGCTCCACAAGTGGCTGTTGAGCCTGCTATGGTCACCATGACAGTTTCCCGCGATGAGTATGCTCAGTTTATGTCTCAACAACGGCCTTCCACCTCATCTTCCATGGTTTCCTTTGCCCAATCAGGTAGTGCACCTGCATGTCTCTTATCCTCTCGTCAAAGTCCCTGGATTCTTAACTCTGGCGCATCCGATCACATGACTGGTAGTTCTCATCTCTTATCTAATTTTCAGTCTGTTTCTTCATCACAAAGTGTAACTCTTGCTAATGGCTCATCCACTAAAGTTTTGGGTGTGGGAACCACCCAACTCACGTCCTCTGTGTCCCTTTCCTCTGTATTATTTATTCCTCAATTCCCTTTTAATTTGATGTCCATTAGTCAAATTACTAAATCTCTTAATTGCTCCGTTACATTTTATCCCTCGTGTTGTATTTTTCAGGATCTCAAGACGATGAAGAAGATTGGTACGGGACATGAAGTAGGTGGCTTGTATTACTTTGATATTGGGCCAACTCCCACGGCTTTTCAATCATCTTTGTCTCCTTTCCAGTGGCACTGTCGTTTCGGCCACCCATCCTTATCAGTTTTGCAGCGTCAAGTCCCCAGTCTCAGTCTTAGTCGTGTTGAGTCCATGGCTTGTGAAGCATGTCAGTTTAGTAAGCATTGTCGTGTATCTTTCAAACCGAGAGCTACCAATCGTGTTGCTAGTCCTTTTCAGTTAATTCATTCAGATGTATGGGGCCCAATAAAACATATTTCTCTTAATGGATTTCGTTATTTTGTGACTTTTGTGGATGATCATTCTTGTATGACTTGGTTGTTTTTAATGAAAAATCGTTCTGAGTTATTCTCTATTTTTCAAATATTTCGCAAAGAAATCAAAACTCAATTTGGATGTTCCATTAAAGTTTTATGTTCTGACAATGCCAAAGAATATTTCTCGGACCCGTTTGAGACTTATTTTCTAGCTAAAGGCATCATTCATCAATCATCTTGTACTTATAATCCTCAACAAAATGGAGTAGCTGAACGTAAAAATCGTCATCTCCTTGAAGTATGTCGTGCCCTTTTATTCCATATGCATGTTCCCAAACGTTTTTGGAGTGATGCTGTTCTTACAGCCTGTCATCTTATTAATCGGATGCCTTCGTCAGTGTTAAAAGGGCAGTCTCCTCACTCTGTTCTATTTCCCGACTCCGCATCGTTTAATCTTACTCCTCGGGTCTTTGGATGTGTGTGTTATGTCCATAACCTTGGGCCCGGTCTTGACAAACTCGACCCCCGTGCCACTAAGTGTGTTTTTCTTGGGTATTCTCGCACTTAGAAGGGTTATCGTTGCTACAGTCCTCATTTTCAGCGCTATTTCACTAGTGATGATGTCTCCTTTTCTGAGTCTCTCCCATTTTTTTCTGATTCTACTACCCCTCTCGATATTACTTTAGCGCTACCTATGCCAACTGTTTCCTCTCTGCTTCTTGCTTCCCCACCTCCTTGCTCTGTTGTCCCCTTGCAGGTTTATACTCGACGACCTGAACCGCTTACTTCGCTCCCTTCATCTCCTTCAGAGTCTTCGGATCTGATGCCTTTACCTGATGATTTGCCCATTGCTCTCCGTAAAGGTATTCAGTCGTGTGTTACTGCACATCCCATTTCTAACTTTGTCTCCTACCATAATATTTCCTCCTCTTTATCTTGTTTTTTATCCAAAATGTCTGCTACGTTTGTTCCCAAGACTTTGCAGGATGCTCTTTCTAATTCGGATTGGCGTAACGCCATGGTAGCTGAAATGGATGCCCTACACCGTAATCGGACTTGGGATCTTGTTCCCTTACCTCCGGGCTCCAAAACAGTTGGTTGTAAGTGGGTCTATACTGTTAAATACCTTCACCATGGGTCTATTGAGCGGTTGAAGGCTCGTCTGGTGGCAAAAGGGTACACTCAGACTTATGGTATAGACTACGATGAGACCTTTTCTCCTGTTGCTGAGATTTCTTCTATTCGGGTACTTATTTCCATTGCTGCCAATTGTCACTGGCCTTTGTTTCAATTAGATGTCAATAATGCCTTCTTGCATGGTGACTTAGTTGAAGAAGTTTATATGGAGCAACCACCTGGGTTTGTTGCTCAGGGGGAGTATCGTCACACTGTTTGTCGCCTTAAAAAGGCCCTGTATGGATTGAAACAATCTCCACGAGCTTGGTTTGGAAAATTCTCTGAGGCGGCATTAGAATTTGGTTTTAACAGATGCCAGACCGATCATTCGGTATTTCACCAGCGCACTAAAGCTGGCTTCATTTTTCTTGTGGTGTATGTAGATGATATTGTGATCACGGGTGATGATTCTGAAGGCATTGCTAAGTTGAAGTTGTTTCTGCAAAATCGATTCCATACTAAAGACTTGGGTAAACTTAGGTATTTCTTGGGTATTGAAGTTGCTAGATCCAAGAAGGGTATAAGTTTATCTCAACGCAAATATGTGTTGGACTTGTTAGAAGAAACAGGTATGTTGGGTGGTCGTCCAGTTGATGCTCCTATGGATTCAAATACAAAACTTGTGTTTGATGAGGGTGATCTATTTAATGACCCGGGCAGATTTCGTCGCCTTGTTGGGAAATTAATTTATCTCACTATCACTCGACCTGATATTTCATATGCAATTAGCGTTGTAAGTCAGTTCATGGGAGCTCTTAGAATGCCACATTGGGTTGCTGTTCTTCGGATTATCCGATATCTCAAGCAAGCTCCAGGTTTTGGGTTACTATATAAATCAAATGGTCATCTCATGGTGGAAGGTTTTTCAGATGCTGACTAGGCTAGTTCTCCATCAGACAGGCGATCTACTACAGGCTACTGTACATTTGTAGGAGGAAATCTTGTTACATGGAAAAGTAAAAAGCAAACGGTGGTAACTCGATCTAGTGCTGAAGTTGAGTACAGGGCAATGGCCCATACAACTAGTGAGTTGACTTGGATACAACATTTTCTAAAAGAACTTGGGTTGACAGTTAAAACTCCTACTCCATTGTTCTGTGATAATCAAGCAGCTGTTCACGTTGCATCAAATCCTGTGTTTCATGAGAGGACCAAACATATTGAAGTTGATTGTCACTTCATTCGAGGAAAAATATTAAGTGGGAGCATCTTTACTCCATTTGTGAAGTCTGAAGATTAGCTGATATGTTTACCAAAGCATTGGGTCATAATCGGTTAAGGACTATCTGTTCCAAGCTGGGATTATTTGATATATACTCTCCAGCTTGAGGGGGAGTGTTAGAATATTTTGGGTCATTATGTAATTACATATAGTTGGTAGGGTCATTGTGTAATTAGCTGAGACCTGTACTCTATATAAGCCACTGTACTAGGGTTTGATATGTATGAAATACACATTATGTATCCACTGTGTTATCTCTCTCTCTCTCTCTCTCTCTAGTCTCAACAAGTTCAAAGTCATTGCCGCAACTGTTCAGTTGCTTCATAGTAATACAAAGACTCACTGAACATTAGAATTTAATGATCCACTGAAAACAACCATAATAGGGCAAATTGCCTGCCCCACCTCCCAAAAAAAGAAAAAAAAGAAAGAGAATTTCACGAATTTGTAACGACCCTAAACTAATACCATTTATACAAAAAATTTCGGTATGACCTCCGCTAAAAAGGGATCCTACGACAACCTGTTTAAATGCATTTTTAACCTGTCTCAGTACTATAAACATATAATACATTCCAGCATCTCTTTCATCCATTCATCATGCCTTAACTTAGTTCATTCCATGGTCCAGATAACATAATTATAGTCCTAAAATACAAGATTAATATCAAATGTCCATGTTTTACAATATTTAGACAGCTTATACAAAAGTTACAGCCCATAGGTATAATTATAATATTAAGAGTCCATAAATCTTCGTATAAAATACATTATGCTAAATCTTACAAAAATAGTGAGACCCACGTACAAAAACAGCAAAATAAGCTTCTAATCCATACTAAGTCTGTGGTATAATGTCATCCGCCACTTCTTTCCCGTTTCCTGAAAAATGTTAAATATATGGGGTAAGCAAAATTATTCAGTAGGTAGTGCCTAAGACGCACCTCTTGAAACCCCGCGAATCCAAATAGAGAATAGGATAATAGGAATTTGGGGTCATGCAAAGCCGGGAAAACACAATATCAATTCTAAGTTCAAAGCAAATAAATCTCGTGCCATGAATGCAATGTTATGCATGTCACTCCCCATTTTCAGAAAAACATCATCACTTCACAAACTGTTAATATAACCCGTCCTTTGGTGACTCCGCAGCGACACGAAGGAAGGATTGGCTACTGTCCCTAACGTCTGGGTACCTCCGTAGCGTCATTTGGGGCCCAAATAGCTCAACCACGCTAGGGCAATCTCCTTAGTTCCCTCTAAGCTATATTAATACACCGGCCCTTTGGTGACTCCGCGGCGACCGAGTTTTTCTCAAAAACCTTTTCATCAAATTCTCCCCAAAAATTCCCTTTTTCATTATTATCAAATCGTTGTACCCTTTTTTCTTTCATGCCCAATGCTATGGATGTAAGTCACATGCTATATATACAAAATCAAGTCATTTAAGAGGCAAATAAATCAAATTAATCATGCTTGACAACAATTATGGTAGAATGACTCACAAAAGCACAAGATAGTGAGAATTAGAGATCCCTACCTCTATTTTATGCAAAATCCCCAATTTTCACCTCAAATCCTCAAAATGGGTCAAGATTTTCGGACTCCCTAGGTTGCTCAAAACTGAAATTGCTGGTACACATGTGTAGAGCTCACCGTGCTCTCCGTTTTGCCGCAAACGGCACTTAAAAATTTGAAACGGTTGAGAAGAAATCAAGCTTGTAAATGATGGTAAAAGAAAAGAAAAAGGGAACTGAGAGGAGAGAGAGAGAACGTAATTGAGAAGAGAGAAAACGAGAGTCCGGTATGTGAAGTCATTTGTAATAACTTTGGCACAGGTGGGTCCCACTGCTATAATAATATCTCATTTGCTCCCCACTATGTCGGCTGCCATCTCCTCATGATCAGACAAGAGATACATATATATATATATATATATTTATGAAATTTAACCAAACCAAATCCCATTAATATATTCCTTGTGGGTCCCGCGGCAACACATTACCAATCTCTTTTATTCTTCACTCAATTCGCACGGCTGGCACTTGGCAGCAAGCTTCTCAGATCCATCTGATATCATATATATATATATATATATATATATATAACAAAGCTAAATTATCCCATTAAACATCACAAGTGGGTAAAAGCTGCAACCACAATTAAATAATTAATTATGGTAACCAAAAATATAATGAGATGAATTAAAATCTTAGAAAAAAAAAAAAAAAATTGGTTTGTCACAGAAATGTTGCAAATCCCCTTTTGCCATTAGTTGTTCTGATAGTAAAGAAACAGAAATGAAGTTATGTGATGATCACGTGTGAAAGAACCAAAAGTAAATCTCATTTTTACCCTCTTATAGACTGATATGCCATTGAATATTTCTTGGTTGTCCTTCATCTACTGTCTGAAACTCAAACCCCTTGATCTCTTCCATTTATAGGAGATCATCAAATTGGTTGTTGCAGACACCTTTCCCTCCTACACCATCGAATCCAACCTCAGTGACTACCACGGGACCATCACAGTCTGCCACGAGGCACTGCAGAGGAGGACCAAGTCTCTCGCAGGGCTGCCATTGAATGTGTTTGATTACGAGTCAATTTTGTGTCAGAGTTGTGAGATGCCTGTAGGTTACATTCAGACGCTGAAGGGTATAGCCAGACTGCTCTTGCTCAACATTGAGGAGTATTAATTCCTTGGCCATCATTGAGGGTGGTTTGGTGGCGAGTACCAACGGGTATTGCAAGGCAATTTATGCTTCTGGTGGAGCATTGATCCACTAGTGGATAACTGGTGGATTTTTGTGAACTAATGCTCCGGAAATTTGGAATTTTGCAAGTGTTTCCATCTGATTTCTAATAACACAAGTTGCTAACGATATGGCCTAATCACAAACATGACTACGATGAACATAGAAGGTGGGGGTATGTATATAAATCTAAACAATGCAAACATCACCATACTTTCTCTCTCTCTCCCTCTCTCTCTTTGTATGTGTGTGTAGGTTTTGGGTGTTTTATACTACTAAATAGACTAGTTGACATAACATTCTCATGAACCTTGTTTGTTCAGCCATAACCAAAGCTCTTGGTGGCTTCACTGCCTATGCCTGTAGCATTGTTGACTAATTCCCTCCAAAATGTTTCCAGAGCTGTGAGAGTTGAGGGTTGAGAGTTGAGAGTGGTGAGTCGAGAGAGTTTGAGAGTGGCTTCAATGGCTATGCCAATTATATTGTTGTTGAGAATTGACTGTAGTTGTGAGAGTTTTAATATGGATTTCTATAATTTCAATTTTTTTGAATAATTTAATAATTAAACGTTGAAGGGCAAATAAGTCAATTACCTACCTTACTAACAGTTAGAAAACGACAAGTACCTTATTTGCTATCTTTTCATACTTTAGCGGTTTTATTGCACTGATAGAAGGTTATTTGCAAAATCTCAATAACTGTTGTAGTAACATTGCCTAGATATATATTGTAATTCATGTCTGTCAACAGATTAAGGTACATAAAATAAATCCATCCGAGGATTTACCAAGTTTTCATGTGCACAAAGATCAAGCAGAAACTTACTGCTTTTGCGACAGCAAGCCAGTGAAAGGAACGCAAGAAAGCATCATCTTGTGACGGAAGACTATCATGATTCCACAATGTAATGCTTTTAAATTTTGCATTCATCTCCCAACAATTTGAGTTTCCTTCAGGTATATCAGAAGCTTTTTTCTTGTCCGGACTCATCTTTCCTAAAACGAAGCCTGAAGAACAATGATTCAGTCATAAAAAGAAACATTAGAATATTATTAAAAATAGAACATAAACATACTTGGATATTAAAAGCTCTTTAAGTAAAACATCAGAAGAGAAACACTTGAAACCACATTTTATATACTCAGATTTGTTTACAAGTGTAGAAAAAAATATAAGATAAAAAAAAAGAGAACAAAAAGAATCTAGGAATCATTCCCACAGGTCCTTAGTCATAAAATGTAATGAAAGGAGTTACATATTAATCAGCATCAGCATCAGCATCAAATAAAAATGAAGAAAACATAATATATGACTCAAAACTCAATTAAACAAGTTCCAAGTGGACACTGCATCATTTAACATGTCCCAAGTCAAATTTTAGGACTTGGAAACATCTTTCCCATGCCTCTTATACGGTTTAAAAGAGGGATGCCACTTACCCCTATCAATGAACTCTCAATGTTAACATAAGGACTCTCCTCAACCACAAAATCCAAACAATGTGATGGCATTATGTGGTAGAGATGTCATTGCCTGGATGTTTGGTCACCAATGTCTTGGATTTGCAAAGCTTCTAATTATGTTTTGGTCTCATATCCTAAGCACTGATTTGTAAAATGTACATTCCTTTCATGTACATCTTTCAAAAGTTACATCCAACTAGTAACAGCTCTGTGCGCACATAATCAACCATATATAACATAAAACCTTTCAACTAGTGATAGTCTTGTCATAATCTACTGTCTACACCATCAACCCCTGCTTAATGTCCTCGGATAAGTCAAAGTTTGAGTTTTCCACAAATTCATCTGCCTTCTATATTAGCCTCTTGGACAACCATTTCTTGCCAGATGCAGTAACAAGCTTCTACACTGCATTCCCCAACACGGAGCCCATCTTCTCACCCCATTATAGATTAACAGAAGGTCTAAACTATTGCCAAATGTATAAACAGATCCTCAACCAAGTAAATTCATCTATGAACTTACTGAAATTGATTTAAAAAATCCTTATATTATTTTTATTTATTTATTATTTAAATTAGAAACAGCTGGGGCTAACAGATTTTTTTTTATAGATGAGGTCTGCTTGCTTTGCAATACAAGAATCCATTTAGGACTACAGAAGTTGAGAAGTGACACCAGATTTCTACAAGTGATACTCCTCATTCCACAAATTCAACCAAATTAATTTGAAACTCTATGATTATTAGTTAATGAGTGAGAAAAAATATTCAAAGAAAAAGTTTGCAAGCTCATATATGCAATCCCAGAGAGAATGGTACTTATTGTTTCAATATTTTCCTCTTTCTAATCTATAGATGAGTTTGAGCATGTAAGGCACTCCGCATTGTGGGAGTGCTGGCTTATGTCTTATTTGTAATTGGGCACTTGTTTTCCGCTCTGTGGCTTCAATGCCGTCTATTACAATTTGCCATCCATTTGGTTGGGCTTTGAAAAGTGTCTCAATTTGGAACAGTGTCACAGTTTCTGGAGCTAAATTCTTGGGTTGCTTAATCTTCTTAGACTGGTCAAAAGCTACTCTAAGACTCTTTCGTTTAATACCTTGATTGTATTTAGCAGCTTTTGTGGAAATTGAACAAAACTACCTTTTTTTTTGCTCTAATTTACGGTGTTTTGGTTCAATATGTATAATTGTATCATCATGTGTTTGATAAATTATGATGTAATTCAATTCTGCAGCAGGATTTTAATAATAAGAGGTAATTATAGATAATAGCAGGCATTTAACAGCATACAGCCTTATAGCAAAATTAGTATGATTTTCAACAAGCACGCATGTACAGATTGAGGAAACAAAGAAATGATTAGCATTAATTACCAGAATAGCCCTGGGGAAGGGAGAAGGTTGTTCCTTGTAACTCCCTTCCTCTGAAGTAAGCTTCCTCCATAAGACCCTCAATCTCAATCCCTACATAAAGAAATTCAATATATATATATACACATATACATATCAGTTATATATAGAGAGAGAAACGGAGGTAAAAGAAAGAAATTACCAGTTGTTTTGGGCTTGAAGTTGTGAGAAACATAGGAAGGTCCATCGTGTTTGATGCAGCAAGGGAGCTGATGAATCTGACCCGTCAGATCCACCGTCGACTCCCGACGGCTAAGATTGATGCTCCGATCTCTGAACCTCTATCCCCATCCATGGACTTCACTCACGATCACCAATTTTACGCTCCAATTGAGTAAGCCCCTAATATTTTTGTCTTCGAACAACTAGAACCCCAAAACTGTCGACTTTTTTGCCCGCGCTTTTATTTTATTAATTTCGGATTTATATTTTAACAGAACATTTAAATAAAATCAAAATTTAAAAAAAAAATTAAATTAAAATCCTTAAACATACGCACCCGTGCGGCCCTTATGTCAATTGTGCTATTGCTAATGCTTATTGGGTATGAGTAGCCCAGTTCAGTTCGAGTTTTTCGGAGATTTAATAACTTTCCTTCTTGACCACATTTCAAATATAAGAATATTTGAGCAAAATAAATATACAGTGTACATAATATGAGTTAAAAAAAAAAAAAACTCTCACGGAAAAATAAATCTAAGTTTAAAAATGAAAAATAAACCAACCTACTTTAATATTGACTCCATTTTAGTACACTCCAAGAGCTCTCAATTGATATATTTTTTTATTATTGTAAAATTTATGTCTCTTCGTAAGTTAAAAAAAAAAAAAAAAACAACAACAACAAAGAAGGTTTGGCGCACCTCTCCTAAACCATTCACTTGACGATTTATTCTGCATCTTTTGTATCATAATTGCACATGTTCATCAAGTTTTAGTGATTGTAAATTTTGTTCTAAAACAATTGATTTAAAGATAAAATAATTTGCTCTTCATTCCTTATTTTTTGTCCATGTTTATAGTTTTAATAACTTAAATACAAATTTTAAGTAATGACAAATAATTTTTGCACGAGACTATTAAGAAAGGAACATTTGAAAATCATGATTTGGAGAATAGATATTAGAGGGGAAGGGGAGGATGGGTTACTCCAACACCGACACTCATATCACACCATAGGGCTCACCTACCACTTGGTGGGCTACGGCCGAACACCCCATGTTAAAAATTTGAAGAAATAAAAACTTTGTTATTAATTTTTTTTTTTTAACAAGAAAAACTTTGTAATTGAGTAGGGAGGTTACATATCAATATTACTATTTATGTATAAAATAAAAATCTTCTTCTTCTTTTTAAAATGGTTTATGTTTCTTCTTCTTCTTCTTCTTCTTTTTTCCCTGCATATATACATATATAGAGTAAAACTATTCCTCAATGGCAGGTAAAGCTTATTACAACAGCAGCCTAAAGCTCAACATATGAAAGTAGATCTCGGTAATATGAAAGCATTTAGGAACGCTGCCTATTCCTCAACCTTGTAACACTTTACCTCCATTGCACACCTTAAACATAACTTTTGTATTTATTTAGCATATCCGCATGAATTAATTTATATCTAAATAATCAAACAATCTTTACATTTACAAAAACCAGTATAAAATGATACAAAATATATATATATATAGGGTAGTGATCTAATAATTTACATGGCACATGAATAAGGCCGTTCAACAGACAAACTCTTCTTCCAAACTGCTACATCAATTTATTTTGATCACGACTCCTCACAGTTCTCATCCTCCTGTTACCTAAAATATATTAAGAGTAAAATATTCTTTTTGAAAAATATTTTTTTTTAGGTAAAATATTTTTTTATTTTTAGTTTACCGGTAGTTGGCAGAGGTTTACAAGGTTGAGATCGAGTCCATCGCGCGAGGCATGTAAAAATATTTTCTGAAAAATATTTTACTTCCAAATAAACGGAGCCTAAATAAGTCGCAAAATGCTCAAGTGTAGGAATTTCTTATGAGCTTCCTCTAAACCATGATAAAAATGAGCCTTGTCATGAGACTAGCAGGTGTCATCTGTCGCTTCTTTTCTGCATCTCCTTCTGGCTTGTAAAGGGAAAACCATTTGCCGGAAATTTCAAACCATCCTCTGTTTCAACTTTCAATCTCCCTATCTCTACTGATTTTCCCAGCAAGACTTGCATTTTCCATCAAATCATGCATTGCTGTATATCAAAATTAAAAACATGCAATAATAAACAAAAAGTAGGAACTAAAAAATAAATATTACTATCATTTTCTAATAATCAAGAAACTTTAACTGATCAAGAAATTATGACATTTCATTTCTACAAACTTGGTTAGGAGTAGAAACTTGGAGAAAGTATTAGGCTAAGTTTGGCTGCATGGAATTGGAATTGGTGGAATTAGAGAAAAGTTCAGTTCAAAGTTACAGAAAATTGAACTAAACTTTTCTCTAATTCTAAGGCTCCAATTCCATGCGGCCGAATATAGCCAGTGGTAAATTCCCTTTGCTATCTTGTATTACTTACCATGCATGTGGTAAATGAAATAAAGAAACTCAAGCAGTAAGCTATTAACTCTTTGTGGACTCCACCCTTGAGCTACAAAAGCAACAATTAATACAAGATCAATGAGGGTTGATTTGCATTCTTTAAAGTTGAATTAACAATAAATATATAGAGGCTTCAACAATGGAGTACATAGCAGCATGTGAACTCCTGCTAGTTGTGAAAAAGAGTTGTTTAAGCTTGAGCACTAGCAAAATAAATGCAACCCATACACCAAATTTTAACTTGGCAAGCCAATAAAAGAACCACCTTCATATCAAATATGAGTTTTTCTTTTGAGTTCATTTTTTTTTCATTTTAGCATCGAAATTCAAAATATGGTTCAAACAATATGATTTAATTAAGTCTATCCAGCATGTCCGAGTATATATGAAGACATTAGACCTTATCACAATGTATTTTTCCCATAGAAACAGAAATTGAAGCATTGGTCCTTCCCAGCTCTCAAACCAGAATTGGGACTTGTTGGGTATGTATAACCATTATAAACATATATCTAAACTTGAGTAGAATATACAACATTCGAGCATATTAAATATCAAATTTTCAGCACATTAGTCATTGATAAGGCAAGTACAATACCTCAGGGAAAAAAATTTTGGCTTTAATGAGTGTAAGGAGTTGTCTCATCACTCTAATGCCCATTTCGGGGACCAAAAATAAGACAATGATGCTTATATAAATATTTCAAATTTTTTATTTTCAAATTGCTATGGAAAAATAATTTGAACCTTCAAATACCTGCGATCAAGAATCTTACGGAAATATTTTGAGAAGATATACAAAAATAAGTACCCATACAAGAAGTCCTCCACATCAAATCATCTAGGATTTAGACAGTGATAATATTCCTTATGAAATTGTTACCATGTGAAGATTCTTTTAGACAGAAATTATGCAGTAAGCATACCAGTGACCCTTTATACTGATTTGATTCAGAACTGCACAAAATCTCTGAAAACAAACCTGCATGTTTAATAACTTTAACTTATCTCAACCTCATGGTACCTGATTTCAATAGTACATTTCCATTGACATGAGAAATCGACCCCTGCACAAAAAATCATGCATTTCTTAGGGACTACTAATTCTGGATCCAAACAAATTTAAGAAACAGAATACAATAAATAAAATCTAGGAGCTCTAACTAGAAAATAAAGCAAAAACCCATAAAAGAGAAGCAAAAGAAATAAATGTCTCTAGCTATGAAATGGACTGCAAACTCCTTGACACAAGTCTTGTAAGAATCTGCAGTCACATACATCCTCAAAGTCTAAAGGTTGAAGGTGACTTTCGATTAATACATGAGTCTTGCTCTTTAAGCTAAAAGTCTCAAGGTTCTCTTTTGGACAGGAAAAAAAAAAAAAAAAAAAAAAAGAATAAACTTCTAAGAAAAGAAAGAAATATTGAGGGTGACTTTCGATTTGGGTCACAGGCATGCTGTCTTACAAATGAAGGTTTGCAGACCTATCTAAACTTAGGTTCCTTCAAGTTGGCTATGCAAACCTGGAAGGAGATTTTAAGGGTCTTCTTTCAAATTTAAGATGGCTTTGCTGGTACAGAAGTCCTCAAACTTTTAGACAAACCAATTTTCATCTAAAGAATCTGGTCATTCTTGATTTATCATGGAGCCAGGTCACAGAAGCCTGGGAGGGTTGAAATCATTTCAATATCTCTGCTTTTGTTTCGTGTGTCTCATCACTTAATTCTTTGTAATTGATTCTAAACAATTCTCTTGAAGAATGAGTGTTTGGTTCGTATTGACCCATCATTTGGGTTTCTAAAGAGACTAGTTTTCTTAAATTTGAAGAATTGTGCTAAACTCAACAGGCTGCCTCTGGAATTTGATTCTATAGAAGCTTTAATGGAGCTCCTCTTTGATGGTACTAGAAGTTCGAAACTCTTATTGGCATGCGTTGTGGGTCATTGACTTAAATTTCTACCAATCAATCACCTAAAATCTCTGTCGGACCTTAGACTTGATGATTCATGTATCACTGAATTACCAGACTCAATTGGTTTGCTAGTGAAATTGTGATGCTTGTCACTAAGGAACTGCAAAATAAAAGTACTTCCAGACATCATTGGGAAATTAGAATCATTATTTGAGTTGTGCTTGTCAGAAGCAAGATTTACAGAATTACCTGATACCATTGGCAACTTAAAATATTTTGAGAATTCTTGAGATGGTTATTCTCCAATAGTGAAGGTACCTAGTGCCACCCAACTGTTACTGAATCTAGAAGAGTTCGATGCCTTGGGTTGTCACTGTTTGGAAGGCAAAATTACTAGTAATATTGAGAGAGTATCCTCTCTGAGAATCTTAAGACTAGGTTGGACACATATCGGTAGCATACCAACAAGCATTTATGGGCTTTCTCACCTCCAAACCCTTGATTTACTAGGTTGCAAAGAGCTTTAGTTTCTACCAGAGTTTCCCTCTAGTCTAGGGAGTCCAAGTGTCACTTGCAAGTCAACGGAGACATTTCTAAACCTTCCTAGCCTGATGAACCTCAAAAAGTTGCACCTTTATGACTGCTCTAAGCTATTGAAAATTCCTGAAGATACTGGGAAATTAGCCAATCTAGAGACCTTGAACGGTATTAGTATTAGCATCCCGTCAATGGAGCTTGGTGCCTTTTCTCGGCTCAGGAAGCTCACCATTCAAAATTGTGAACAACTTCAATGCCTTCTGTTGAAAGATATAAATATTTCTATATAACAGTGGAGCAAAATCCTCCACCAATCATGGTGCCTCCTTTGACTATTGTACACCTTCCATATTTTCTTATCTTTACCATGCCTATATATAGGCTCTTTGTACTCGAGCAAAATATATCTGAATAATATAAATGTAGCCCGTAGTGGCTCTCTTTGTCCATGGATATATGCCTTAGTGCCGAATCATGTATATGCCTGTGTTCTCCGTCTTCTCTCTATAGTCACTATAGAGCGACGAAATGGAGGAGCTCACTGTCACCATCCAGTCTCAAAGACTTACGAGGCCTACACTATGTATCTGGTTAGAAATCCCGAAAATCACAGAATACTCGCAATCGTCACTGGGAATGATTTGTTGGCAACAAAAGTGGCTGAAGGGAGTCCTGAAAGGGAACAACAATCAGAGAATTGTGGTTATTGTCAGTGCGAGGGTCTGGAATGGGAATAAGGGGCTGAGAAATGCCCTTTTGACCTTCTGGAGATTTTCATTGGGAATCATTGCTTACTGTACCTTTTACCTGAGATGCCTTACTTCCCCACCCCCAAATCCCTGAAGCATTTCTTTACAGATAGCCAAAACCCAAAACTTCTTCTTTTTGGTATCAGAGCCAAGTTATTCTTGTAATCCCATCTAGAATTTGAGAGGGGATATTGGAATTATTATCATGGAGCATATTCTCTATGCCTTCACATTCCTTTCCCTCTGAAAGTCTAGAATTAGAAGCAAGATCCATCTAATCAACTGGAGTCTCTGGTAAAGGTACTGGCTGAGAGATTTGATATATATGCTCCACATGGTCAATAGTAGCGAAGGCATCATATAAATCAGGCATAGGAGAGGTGTTTATGATCTGAGTTCTAAAAGCATCATACTCAGATCGTAAACCCATCAAAAACTGGTAGGTATGCTGGCGGTCTAGTCTCTTGACTAAAAGAGTTAGAGCTTCTTCAGAGAAATCGGAGAGAGGTTCACATTGTGCTACCGTGTTGCCCTTCTAGTTTTTTCGCCATCGAGAACAGATCAAGCCCCATAGCAGTAATGCGGCTATCTCCCGGCGTTGTTCCGGCTTTTCTCGGCGTTGTTCCGACCATTCCCGGCTTAGTTCCGGACATTTTCCCGGCTTAGTTCTGGTCTTTTCCCTGCATTGTTCCGACCTTTTCCCAGCTTACTTCTGGCCATTGGCGAATTCCAGTTTATTTTTCCCACTGTTCATTTTCCCCAACAAGATCTAGTCAATTTCCTGATTTTGTTCCGGACACCTTCCCATCATCTTTCGAGGCGTTTCTTTAGCAAGTTGGGCATTTGTGATATTCATGCTCCAACTTGAGGGGGAGTGTTGAAATATATAAATATTTCTATATAATTGTAGAGCAAAATCCTCCACCAATCATGATAATCTGGTCAATGTCCTTCCAACTATTAATATTTCTATATAACAGTGGAGCAAAATCCTCCACCATCACGGTGCCTCCTTTGACTATTGTCCACCTTCCATATTTTCTTATCTTTACCGTGCCTATATATAGGCTCTTTGTATTCAAGCAAAATATATCTAAATAATAAAAATGTAGCCCTTAATGGCTCTTTGTCCATGGATGTAGGCCTTAGTACCGAACCATGTATATGTCTGTGTTCTCTATCTTTCTCTCTTCCCACACCTCTCCCATGCCTGATTTATATGATGCTTTCGCTACTGTTAACCATGAGGAGCATAGACGTCAGATCTCTCAGCCAGTAACTTTACCAGAGACTCCAATTGATCAAATGACTCTTGCTTCTAATTCTAGACTTTCAAAGGGAAAGGAATGTGAAGACATAGAGAATATGCTCCATGATAATAATTCCAATAATCCCCCTCAAATTTTAGATGGGATTACAAGAACAACTTAGCTCTAATACCAAAAAGAAGAAGTTTTGGGTTTTGGCTATCTACAAAGAAATGCTTTAAGGATTTGGGGGTGGGGAAGTAGGGCATCTAAGGTAAAAGGTACAACAAGCAATGACTCACAATGCAAATCTCCAGAAGGTCAAAAGGGGCATTTCTCAGCCCCTTCTTCCCATTCCAAACCCTCGCACCGACAACAATCACAATTCTCCAATTGTTGTTCCCTTTCAAGACTCCCTTCAGCCACTTTCTTGCCAACAAATCATTCCCAGTAACGATTGTGAGTATTCTATGATTTCCGAGATTTCTGGCCACATACACAGTGTAGGCCTCATAAGTCTTTGCATCGTTGATAGACTGGATGGTGACGGTGAGCTCCTCCATTTCGTCGCTCTATTATGACTAAAAAGAGAAAGATGGAGGACACAGGCATATACATGATTCGGCACTGAAACCTACATCAATGGACAAAGAGCCACTAAGGGCTATATTTCTATTATTCAGATATATTTTGCCTGAGTACAAAGAGCCTATATATAGGCACGGTAAAGATAAGAAAAAATGAAAGATGTACAATAGTCAAAGGAGGCACTGTGATTGGTGGAGGATTTTGCTCCACCGTTATATAGAAATATTTATAGTTGGAAGGAAATTGACCAGATTATCATGATTGGTGGAGAATTTTGCTCCACAATTATATATAAAGATTTATATATTTCAACACCTTCTAACTCTTCCCTCAAGTCTAATCGTACCTGCTCTTCAATTTTTTTAAGTCAGTGAAGAGGTTTCCAAATCCGTCAAATTATCAGAACAAATTCTTAAACCGTACTTAGAGTTACCACAAATTCAAGGACTTGGAAGGTTAGAACTCGTAATAAAATTGGAATGTATCTGGGTGGAGAAAGTTATGTATGCTTGGAGGGCTTGAACAACTAACATCTTTAAGATACTTGACCACATCATGTGCGTATCACTAGAAACATTACCAGATCTTTCAAACTTAACGAAGTTATGGAAATTAGATATTGTGCGATGCAAGAATCTGAATGAAATTAAGGGCCGGTTTGGTATGCGTTTCATATTGCCCACTTGTTTTGTTTTGGGTTAAAACAAAAATACAAAAAAAAATCGTACCAAACAGGCCCTTAAGCATTCTATAGGAGAGAGGTAAGTGTAATTTACTCTTTATTTTTTCTTCTTTACAATTTTAGAATTATTTTTAGTATTTTGAAAGTTTCATGAAGGTGGCTATTTTTTATTTTTCCAAATTCCCTCACTTTTGGAAGGATAGTGAACCCAATAATCTGTTAGCTAAATAAATCCTTATACATAGTCTATCTGGTACGAAAATAATCCAATCCAACATAATATAATATAATATATGATACACTTTAAATATATTATCTAATGTTTTAATATATAATGCTTTTATTATTATTTTCTTCTTCTCTCTATCTGTCTATTTTGTCTCTCTTTATTTTTTTTTTTCATTAATAAAAAGTCAAATACCTACATTTCTACCTTTTTTATATTTTATTTTTCTTCTCCAGCTTCTCCTTCTTTTTTTTTCCTAATAATTGTTTACTAATTTCTTTTAACATTAAATTTTTTTTACAAAAACTATATATCCTTTTCGAATCGGGTTGTCAGACCGGACCAATTAATAACAAATCGGATGTGGATTCAATCATAAATAATCTATCGAGTTATTGGAATCAGAACTCCATATTATGGGATCGGATATCCTATTAACAACAAATCAGATCAAATATAACTTTAAGAATTGACATTAGACTCGATGTCCAGGCCAGTAATATTGCTGTTAAGAGTTGACTACAGTTGGGAGAGTTTAAATATGGGTTTCAGTATTTTCATTTTTTTTTTGTATACAATGATTACATATTGAAGGGTACATAAGTAATTTATCTACCTTACTAATGTTAAAAAACGGAACGTCCAGATTTGCTAATTTTTCATAGTTTACGGGGTCTATTGCACTAAGAGGGGGGAATTTGCAAAATCTCGATAGTTTGAGGGTTTTCTTGAAATTTACCCGCCAAAGGAACTGTTGTAGCAACACTGCCTGGATTAATGTTTTAATTCATGTCTTTCAACGGATTAAAGTATATAAAATTTAAATTAATCTGAGAATGTGCTCAGTTTTTCATGTGCAGAAAGATCAAGCAGAAACTTACTGCTTTTGCAACAGCAAGCCAGTGAAAGGAATGCAAGGAGGCATCGTCTTCTGACGGAGGACTATCATGATTCCACAATGCTATGCTTTTAAACTTTGCATTCATCTCCCAACAATTTGAGTTTACTTCAGGTATATCAGAAGCCTTTTTTTCTTGTCTGAACTCTTCTTCCCCAAGACGAAGCGTGAAGAATGATGATTTAGTCATTAAAAAGACAGTAAAATTTAAAATATAATCAATTAAAAAAAACTATGATATTAAAATCTCTTTACATAAAAATCTGAAGAGAAACAGTTGCAATTATATAGCTAGATTTGTTTACAAGCGTTGAAAAAAATATAAGATAAAAGAAAGAAGAGAACAAAAGAATCTATGATTCACTCCTACATGTCCTTATTCATTAAATGTAATGAAAGTTACTTACTCAACCAGCATTAATTAAACATGAAGAAAATATAATATATGCTCAAGACTTTATTAAACAAAGTCCCAAGTGGGCTCTGCATTATTTAATATGTCCGAAGTCAGCTTTAGGCCTTGGAAGCATCTTTCACATGCTTCTTATACAGTTCAAAAGAGTGATGCCACTTGCCTCTACCCACAAACTCTCAATATGATGCCATTATGTAGTAGAAATATCATTCCCGAGATGTTTGGTCAAGAAAATGCTAAGCCTCTAATTATGTTTTTGGTCTAATATCCTGAGAAATCATTCGTAAAATTGCCTCTATCAACAACCTCTCAATATGATGCCCTTATGTAGTAGAGATAGCATTCCCTAGATGTTTGGTCAAGAATATGCAAAGCCTCAATGATGTTTTTGGTCTCATATCCTAAGCACTCATTCTCAAAATGTGCATTCATTTCAAGTACTTCTTTCAAACAGTTACATCCATCTAGGAACAACTTTATGCGCATATACACAACCAAAGATAACATAAGATGGATTGATGAAAAGTTGAAAACCTTGCAACTAAGGGATAATGTCGTTATAATTCTAACCATCAACCCCTGCTTAATGTCCTGGAATAAGTCGAAGTTCGAGTTCTCCACAAATTCGTCTACCTATGGTGTTAGCCTTTGGACCAAGGACGGATGCAAGGGGGGCTCTGGTGGGTTTGAGCCCCACCCCAAAAAAAAAAAAAAAAAAATTACTACAGGTAATTTTAGCCCAGCCCAAAAAAAAAAAAAAAAAAAAAATTAGTAGTACTAGCCCACCCCAGAATATATTAGCCCACCCCAATATATTTTTGGGTCCGCCCTTGCTTTGGACCACCATTTCTTGCCAGATACACTAACAAGCAGTAAGTCAACAAGCTTCTACGCTGCATTCCCCAAAATGGAGCTCATCTTCTCACACAATTATAGCTTCGCAGAAGGTCAAAACTAATGCCAAATGTATGAATAGCTCTTTAACTGAGTAAATCCACCTCTAGTGTATTTTTTATAATTTTTTTGTAATTGATTAAAAAATTCCTATATTTTCTTCTCTTTATTTTATTTTATTTTATTTTTTTATTAATAGCCGGAGCTAACAGATCTTTTTTTGTAGATGAGGTATGTTTTTCTTAATCGTTGGTTTGCAATACAAGGATCCATTTAGGAATACAAAAGTTTAGAAGTGACACCAGATTTTTTTGAGTAATACTCCTTATCCCACAAATTCAACCAAGAGAGAGAGCAAATGAATTCAAGATTCTATGATTATTAGTTAATGAGTGAGAACAATATTCCAAGAAAAAGAATGCAAGCTCATATATATGATCCCAGAGAAAATGCTACTCTTTCTAATCTATAGACGAGTTTGATCATCTTAAGCATTCAGCATTGCAGGTGTGCTTGCTTATGCCTCATCTGTTTTGTCGATGGCAGAGTTCCTTAACAAAGAATGTTTCAGCAACTTCCATCATTTGTAACCGGGCACTTGTTTTTCGATTTGTGACTTTAATGCATTCAGTTACATTTTGCTAACTGTTGGCTGGGCTTTGAAAAGTGTCTCAAATTGGAACAGTGTAACAATTTCTGGAGCTAAATTCTTGGGTTGCTAAAACTTCTTAGACTGGTCAAAAGCACCCCTAGGACTCTTTTATTTAATAGCTTGTTTATATTTATCAGCTTTTTATGGGAATCAAACAAAACTATCTAATTTACGATTTTTTGGGTTAATATGTATAATTGTATCATCATGTGTTTGATCATGTTATGGAGTAATTAAATTCTGCAGCAGGAATTTAATAATATGAGGTAATTATATTTTATAGCAGGCATTTAACAGCATAGAGCCTTGTAGCAAAAATAGTATGATTTTTCAAAAACACACACACAGAAACACACATGTAGAGATTAAGGAAACAAAGAAAGGAATAGCATTAATTACCAGAATAGCCCTGGAGAAGGGAAAAGGTCGTTCCTTGTAACTACCTTCCTCTGAAATAAGCTTCCTCCACACTCAGACCCTCAACCTCAATCCCTACATATAAAAATACGAAACATATATGTATATAAATAAGAGTTATATATATATATATAGAGAGAGAGAAAGAGAGAGAGAGAGAGTAAAGGGAGAGATGGGGGTAAAAGAAAGAATTTAGCAGTTTGTTTGGGCTTGAAGTAGTGAGAAACAGAGGAAGGACCATCATATTTGATGCTTCTGATCCACCTCGACGGCTGAGATTGATGTTTCCGATCTCCCAACCTCTATCCCCATACATGGACTTGACTTGACTTACGATCACCACTCTTGAAATTATTTGCACATATATTTGTATTTTTCATAGTTACACTATACTTTCAAGAAAAGTGTAATTATTTGTGCATATATTACCAACAAGATTTGTAAATTAATCTCTTTTTCATCATTCTCACATAGGATCACTAGATAATTAATTTGTTTTATATTTTCTTTCCTTTCGTTTTTTACCAAACTGATCTTACTTATCTACCTGTGAGTATCGAAGCTGTATCTTCATTCTCACAGTAATATTATAGAAATGCAGAAATGACAATTATCCTTAAAAGGATTTGGAACAGGAGTAAACAAATTTCCTTCCCTCTTGAGCTATTAAAAGATTTTCCAACTTATCTGAGGGTGTCATAGTTAGAAAACGAATATTACAAAGATAACCGAAAGGCATACCTCTCCATACAACCAATCTTGAAACAGAGAACAAACACAAACAAGGAATACAATGGATAGACAAAAGTCTAGGAGCTCTAAGCAGAAACCCGTAAAAGAGAAGCAAAGGAAACCAATATCTTAAGCAATGAAATGGACTGCAAACTCCTTGACACAGGTCTTGTTAGGATCTGTAGTCACATTCATCGCTAAAAATCAGCAATTCTTAATACAGTAGCAATTGTTCTTATCATAGGGATTCCACTTAGCCATTGTCAGCATGTACTGCCAGCCATGTAGCAGCACCAGCAGTCAGTATAATAGGAAGCATGCCAATCCAAAAGCTGAAAGATATGATCATCAACATAACTAACAGCTAAAATTGAATTGAAATAGAACACCACCCAACTCTTTCAACAAGCAAAAACAGAGGCGCCAACAGAAAACTAGATTAGTAACCCTGAGATCACTGCCCATCCCATGGTTACGGTGGAAAGAAAAAGACCTACCGAATGGAGGAGGATACTGAAACATCCCTTTACTCTATTCAGAAAATAGTAAAAGGCGGCTTTCGTTCACTGGACAACCATTTATAGGACATAGTGAACTCCACATTTCTAAAAGAGAGGGCTTATGTTGAAAATCCAAAGAAATAATAATTTGTTTTTGGGTAGGGGGGAGGAGATTACATATCAATATTACTATTTATAAATTAGTAAAAAATAAAAAATAAAAAACACCCTCTTTCAATTTCTGTTCAATTGTTCTCTCTCTGTCTCAATACTCAGTAGCATCCTCCAGAAAAGAATTTGATCTCTTTAATCTCTTCTAAGCATAATCAACAATTTATAGAGAAATTAATAGGGAAAGACCTATGAAATCATCTATTCTAAACTTCCTTTTTCAGATTTTCATATGGTTTATTTTTCTTCTTCTTTTTTTCTTTCTTTATAAGGTAATACTAAGATATGCTGTTAATGTAATAGAAGAACCTACTAAAAAGAGAATACTTTTTAGAAAAGGGGTTAAAGAACAAATCCTCTATATGAAGGTGTAAAGACAAAAAAGAGTAGTGGTTTTGTCGTCTCACCTTTTAAAGATAGGAAAATTATTGATAAAATATCTGAAGTTTCAATGGATTTAATGTAGATAGAGAGCTCTGCCATTTAGCTTGAATAAAGGCAAGGAGAGCTAACCACTCAATCTTCTCAAATAACACAAGAACCACAATATGTAGAGAGGATGCAGCTAACCCCGAGAAGACATGGTGCTAAGAAATATTTGTAGCCAAAAAGAGTTTCAGCAGCAATTTAATCATTATGAAGTGTGAATTGCAGTGGAATAATATAAAACTCTCCACTTTACTTTTGGGCCTGTAGAATTAATCTTATTTCAAGGCTTTTGTATTATTCTTGGTCAATGTTAAAAATTGTGGTTGCAGTGAGGTTAACTGTGAACTAATATTGACTATGAAATATCTTTAGATAGGATAGTAAGGAATATACAAGTCTTACTCTTTTAGCTAGTTAATAAAATCCCATTTTGATGAAAACATGAAAAATAATCAAGAATGTGCATGTGATGAGAACAGAGCATGATTGCTGTTAACTTCAGCCTTTTCACAATGGTCCCTGGAAGTACTGAAACAAAACTGTTCTAACATCCATAGCAGAGACTACCATGCTCCTAATCAACCATATAGTATAGGGATAAACACCAAAACAACCTAAATACTAGTGTTCAATATAGTTCTGAAATGATAATTCATAACTGAATTGATGTTTCATCAATTACCTGAAAAAGGAACAGAGAAAGAAACCACAATTAACATTCAGTTAAGGAAAAAAAACCATCATACAAAGACAACATAGATTAGAAGAAGTAGATAATTACCATGCCATCAGATTGCATGTTAAACACTAAACTCTGACACCCTGCAATTTGCTCTCAACGCTTGACTTTACTAATGTTCGAAATGTCTGGTAATTTTCCTAGTGATTTGCATCCGGAAATGTCCAAGAATGCTAAGAATTTCAGTTCCTCAAGTCCCAAAATCTCACTAAGTTTCTCACAGTTACAAAGTTGCAATCTCTTTAAATTTTTCAGTCTCGACAGATCAGGTATCCTCTCCAAGGCCATGCATGATGACAAGTCCAGCATCTTCAAGGATTTCAAAGCCTCAAGACCTTCTATCTCATGTAGCTTCTGGCACTGGGCGAGGTTTAAATCTTTCAGCATTTCTAAGTTCGATAGATCAGGCAATCTTTCCAAGGATATGCACCAACTCATATTCAAATATTCCAAGGATTCCAATTTGTCAAGGCCCCTAATTTCATTCAAATTCTTGCAATGCAAAGTAACTAAATTCCTTAACTTCTTTAAGTTCGAAAGATCTGGTAAGGTTTCTAGTGATTCACACCATGATGTGGTCAAGTATCTTAAAGATCTTAGCTGTTCAAGCCCTTCAAGCATACATAACTTTATGCACTTAGATATATCCAAACTTATTAGGAGTTCCAATCTTCCAAGGCCTTGAATCTCCGTTAACTCTGAGCATTGGCCAAGTATTAGTTCTGATAAATCTTTCAAATTTGACAGATCTGGCAACCTCTTCATTGACTTGCAAACATTAAGACACAGTTTGAACAGACTTGAGGGAAGAGTTGGAAGGCATTGAAGTTGTTCAGAATTTTGAACAGTGAGTTCCGTAAGCCGAGAAAGGGCACCAAGCTCCATTGGCAGGCTGCTAATGTTAATCCTGTACAAGATCAAGGTCTCCAGTTTGGCTAACTTCCCAATATCTTCAGGAATTTTCAACAGCCTAGAGCAGTCATAAAGTTGCAACTCCTTTAGATTCATCAGGCTAGGAAGGTTTAGAAATGTCTCCATTGACATGCAAGTGACTCGTAGACTTACTAGACTAGAGGGAAGCTCTGGCAGAAACTGAAGCTTTTTGCAACCCCGTAAATCAAGGGTTTGGAGGTGAGAAAGCCCACAAATGCTTGTTGGTAGGCTACAGATATTTGTAAAATTTAGTCTTAAGATTCTCAGAGAGGGTAGTCTCCCAATATCATTGGGAATTTCACCTTCCAAATTGTGACAATGCGAGGCATCTAACTCTTCAAGTTTCAGTAACATTCCAATGGCACTAGGTAACTTCTTGATCAAAGATTCGTTAATCTCAAGAATTCTCAAATGATTTAGGTTGCCAATGGTATCAGGTAATTCTGTAAATTTTGCTCCTGACAAGCGTAGCTCAATTAATGATTCTAATTTCCCAATGGAGTCTGGAAGTTTTTTTAATTTGCAGCGCCTTAGTGAAAATCGTCGCAATTTCAATAGCGAACCAATTGAGTCTGGTAGTTCATTGATACATGAATAATCTAATGTAAGGTCGGACAGAGATTTTAGGTGACCAATTGAGGTAGAAATTTGAGTCAATGACCAACAACTGGCACTAAGAGTTTCAAGCTTATTCATAACACCTATACCATTAGGGACTTCTTTTAAAGAAGTACCATCGATGAGGAGCTCCACTAAAGCTTTCAAAGAATCAAATTCCAGAGGCAACCTTTTGAGTTTAGAACAGTTCTTCACATTGAAGAAAACTAGACTCTTGAGATACCCAATCGATGGGTCAATATGAACCAAATTCTCACACTCTTCAAGAATCAATCTTTCTAAAGTTGCATATGCAGAGAAGTCAGGAGTACTAACCATGTCTCTGCAACCCGTGAGATTTAGAACTTTCAACTTTCTTGCAATCTGAGGAATAAGGAAAAAGAGAATAGCTTAGAATCAATTACAAAGAATTATGTGATGAGAAACATGAAACAAAAGCAAAGAAATTGGTGAAACCTTGATATGATTCCAACCCTCCCAGGCTTCTGTGACCTTGCTCCATGATAAATCAAGAATGACCAGATTCTTCAGATGAAAATTGGTTGGTTTAAAAATTTGAGGGCATCCGTTCCAGCTAAGCCATCGTAACTTTGAAAGAAGACGCTTATAATCTCCATCCAGGTTTGCATAGTCCATTTGCAGGAACCTTAGATTAGATAGGCCTCCAAATTCTTCATTTGTAAAACAGCATGCTTGTGACTCTGATCGAAAGTCAACACAAAGAGCTTCAATCTTTCTTGTTCCCTGCCAAAAGAGAACCTTGGGATAAGTAAATATATATATATATATATATATATATATATATTAAGGCTATAATTATGGTGGACAGAAAAACTAGTATTAATGATTAATGATTATATTCACTCTCTTTCAGGGAATTCCAATTATTATTTCAACTTTTGCAAGGTGGCTCACATAAGGCAACCGCCTAATTGGCCTAGTGATTGAGCCGGCGCTACTTGTAGTTCATCCAAAATTGTGTTAGTAAGGAAAGAAGAAAATTAATGCTTAATAAGGGACACTATTTGTGAAGGAGTTGGATCTTACCGACTGACTCTCCAATATTTCATAGGCTTCCTCATGAAACCACACCCTACTGCGCTCCTCTGGCTCCTTAAAATTTTCTTGACGGACAATATCCCTACCGAGGTCTCTAAGCTGATCATGCATCCTTAGCTCATTGTCATCTCCAATTTTCACCAAGGACGTGAGAATAAGAACTTCAATTCCATTTTCCGGATAAAATTTGCAGTCATCCCACATGTGGAAAGCAATTCTTCTATCCACTCCAATTAAAAAACATGATATATCAAGAAATATCTGTTGTTGCTCATATTCTAATGCTTCGTAACTTATTCTCAGCTTCTTTTGCACTTGTCCATCCGGTATTTTCTTCAACTTCTTCAATGTCTCATTCCACACCGCTTTTCTCTTGCCAGATAAAAAAGAGCCAACAATCTCAAGAGCCAAAGGCAACCCTCCAGTAGTGGACACAACATCTCTAGAGAGAATATCATAGTCTTCTGGAGCATGGTTCATTCTAAAAGCATGTCTGCTGAAAAGTTGAAGAGATTGATTAGAATCCAATTCCTTTGGTTCGTAAGTCCTACAATCTACCTCAGGTAGATTTAGAATATCTTTGTTTCTTGTTGTGACAATTATCCTACTTCCTGAACCAAACCAATCACACTTTCCCACAAGTGAATGAAGATGAACTTTTTGATCGGCATCATCAATGACAACAAGAACTTTCTTCCCAGAAAATCTAACTTTGATTACATTAATACCTTCATCCACGGTACTAATGTCAACGCATCTCCGTTTTAAGATGTTAGATATAAGTTGGTTTTGCAAATGAACAAGACCATTGTGTTGTTGTGCTGTTTCTCTTACATCTGGAAGGAAGCAACAGGATTCAAAGTGTTGGGAGAGTTGGTTGTAGATGACCTTGGCTATAGTGGTCTTGCCAATTCCTCCCATGCCATGGACTCCCACAATCCTTACATCACTGGAATTAACACTCAACAATTTCATCATTTCTTCTACATGATTATCAATTCCAACTAAGCATTCATTTACATCCAATGAGTTCCTTTTCAGCTCTCCCCACACCTCTAAAACAACCCTCTTTACCAGTTCTCCTTGGTGCCTGCAACATAATTGATGTCACATATATATGGGAAACACAATAAATAAATATAGCCTATTCTCAGAAAACTTAAAAATAGAATGTAGTTCCAAAATTCATTTGATTGGCAATTTGTAAAAACTGTTGTTTGTAAATTAAGTTAGAGTAGTGTCTAATTTGAGAGAACGGAACCAAACAAGCTCATAGTTGGTGCTAATAATTAGGAAAATTTACTGAAGGAAAATAATGACAAAAGTTAAAATTTCAGAATCAGTATATATAAGTAAATATGCACAATTACCCGTCAGCAACATTCTTCACTTCCCATCCCTTCAATTCCCCAACCTCCCTCAAGGCTTTCTTCCACCCCTCCACAGTAGCACTATCAAAATGCTTCTTGTGTTCCCGGAAGGCCTTTTCGTAACTCCCCTTCTGCTTTCGCACGTCGGATGGTTCCACATCGTAGAAAATGGGTTTTATGATTTGCCCTGATGTCCTCTTACACTCAACCATCTTGGTGAGCTCAAGCAAGCACCACTTACTTGAAGCATAGTCTTTGGAAAAGATTGGGATGGATATCTTTGAGTGTTGTATTGCCTTGAGAAGCTCATCACCTATCTTCTCTCCAATGCGAAGCTCATTGTTGTCTCTAAACGTGCGAATTCCTGCGTCAACAAGGTCGCTGTAGAGGTAGTCAGTGAAGGTTTTACGAGTGTCTTGGCCTCTGAAACTCAAGAACACTTCATAGTTCCATCCTATAGGTGGAGAGATGGACAATGAAGAATTGTTCAGAGATGCTAATGAAGTGTTCCTGGTCTTCTTCTTAATGAACACAACAAAGCTGAGGAGGATTGCAGCAAGTGTGACGAGACAAGATAGCAATAAACAGTTCGTATCCATTTCGAATGTGTGAGAGGCTCAGTGATGAGTTCCTGTTAAGTTGGGTAGAAATGAAAATGATGAGAAGCTAAATTTCAGTGGGCATAGAAGAAATTCTTCAATTTCTTAATTTCCACACCGACACCAAATTAAAGGCATAAGCAAAGGATCATGTCCATCCATTAAAGTTTGGTGCTTTGAAACTGATCAGTTTATCAGTGCAGGCCATGCGCTTTCTTTAAGGGTAGAAAGCACTAAAGTGTGCTAGTATCAAAGTTAAGGATAGGACCCACTAACATCTGCTGTGCTTTCTTAAGGGGTTAGACAGATGCTCATATATATGTAAACTGATAAGTAAAATTTAAATGTATATTATTTATAAGTTATGGTTATATTTAGAATGTTTTGAGTTTAAAATTTGAAGTTCTATAGCTAATTTTTTTTTTTTTTTTTGGAAGGTTCTATGACTACTACTTGTATAAGTTATTAAAGTACTTGATTAAGTTGATTTGTTCGTAGGGATCCTGTTTATTAAAAAGAATCTTGTGAGAGATTTTTTTGTTGAACAAAGTTATATAAATTAGCAAAATTAGCTTGGTGCTAATCTAAAATATAGAAGTGGTACTCTTTTGAGTCTAAAATATTAATATGGGTCGTTTACAAAGGAGAGAGACTGAGAGAGAGAGAGATTGCTGGCTAGTAATTTGACAATGTACCAAATGAGAAGTGCACTCTAAATTGGGATGATAAATAACAGTTCCTTGTTGCACCCTCTCATCAGTCTATTTCTGTCTTCTAAAAATTATTACACGATCCGAAAATATTTGGTACCATTCAATCAAAACCTGACATGTAAACAAAAATACCAATGAAGTCTACATTTTGCTTAAATATCATATTATGATTGACCGGACCATGTAATTTTGGAACATATAAAAATTTCTCCGAAATAATCACGTGCTGATTCCAAATCTTCTATTGTCACTGGCTGATGATAAATAACAGAAGCGCTTATTTATCAATTATTGTTTTGAAGGTGGACTTGTTTAAAACAATGGGTGTAATACTGTCTTGTCATCTCGTGCGACTTGCCACCCCTAGGCGTCAAAGCAAGGTTCCACTTACTTCGGTAAATTATCATGTTCTCGTAAACTATTTTAGGTGCAAGACCTGTTAGTGGGTTAAAGGCACTAATTAAATTACCAAATTACCCTTATCTTTAATACAAACCATTGTGTGCATATGATGGCATAAGCAAAATAAAAAAATAAAAAGACAAAATTGCCCTTGCCATCTCTTTGTCTGCGCTCAACCCTCGTCCTCCTTTTATAAACTCGTCCTCCTCTTAGATACTGTATTACATACAATACACACACACATGTAACAAATCAAAATCAAGAAATTTGATTTCCTAACTACTGCCCATTAGCTTAATTCATCCTCAACCCTTGTCCTCCATTTGTGTGCATTGTATATTATATAGATATATAACAAATAAAAATCAAGAAATTTTGATTTCTATACTACTGTTCATTAACTGAATTCCTCTCAGTCGATTCTCCATGTTCCTCTAGTATTTGAACCCTCGAGAATGGGTTCCGATGTGCTCGTCGAATTTGTTAATGGGGCAAGTAAAGTACCGATAGATATGTGTACAACATATATATATATTTATTTATTTGTTCTACAAGGAAATAACATTTAGTGAGATTGAATACCTGGTTACTTCTCCAATTTGGCAAAGCCGTCCGATCCGATCGATAAGCCCCATTTGCACCACATTTTAGCTTCATATCAGAGATGAATAGATGATAAGGGCATATTAAAGTAATAATATATGGGTATTAAGTGGAAACAAATAGTGTATATTAGTCTTTTTCTTCAGCAAGTGCCTTTGGAGTGTAAGGGGTGGGATGATAATTTAAGCTGTTGGGCCCCATTGCGGCTGAGGTCGCATTACGAGTTTGGCGTGATACCATATCAAGGTTCGAATTTAGTTCTAGTTTTGATACTAAAAGTAATGGATGGGCGCTTCCATTTAATCAAAAGCTTAAACTATTAGGTAATGCTACATACTCACCAATTTATATATATTTCAATCCCAATTCAAATTCGATGTGGGACAAGTTCTACTTGTAACAAAAAAAATACCATTAGTCAAAAGACTTTGGTTATAAATAGTAGTTTATATACTCTATAATATTAGAGTATATTGACAAATATAATTAGAATAATTTTTGAGGAAAAAAAAATATTTTTCACTTCGTAGCATAAAAATGTCCCCTTTCATTTGTGATTGTCCCAAAATAATTGTTTCAATTCAAAATTTAATGTATTTTTTTTTTAAATACTCCTAATTTATCATCCTCGTCTTGTGTTCATTTCATTTGTGATTGTCCCAAAATAATTGTTTTAATTTAAAATCTAATGTTTTCTTTTTAATATTTTTAATTTACTCTCCTTGTGTTGAAGTTGTTAGGTATATTTGAAAATTCATTTCCAACCACTATAATATATATATATATATATATATATATATATATATATACACTTTAAAAGTTAGATTCCAAAAAAAAAAATCTTATATATTTTAAAAGTTGTGGGACAGAGGGTTTATTAGATTAAATAAATTAATTTAAAAATATTAAATAAATCTTATATATATAATTAGTCTCTATTATGTACGTATGTTGCCTGGAGGGAATTATTAGGAAATTATGGTGATTAACTGAAAGGGGTTTGGTCGCATATGGAAAGCCTTCAACATACTGTGGACTCATACAGTAACATCCAACTACATGAATGGATGTCTCTAGTTAAGTATAAATTTTCTAATCAACTTAATTATGTATGACTACTCCAAAGTCACTTAATTATGTATGAACTACTCCAAAGTTGAAATAATAACGGGAAATTCCCCAGAGAGAGTGAAAAAACATTATTAATGGTACTATTTTATGAGGGAACAAGAAAAGTCGAAGCTCCCTTTGTTGCCTTTGGATTAGAGTCACGAGCATGTGGTCTTACAAATGAAGAATTTGCAGGCCTATCCTAAGGCTCCTTCAAATGGACTATGCAAAAACCTGGATGGAGATTTTAAGCGTCTTCTTTAAAGTTAAGATAGCTTCGTTGGAACGCACGTACACAAATTTTTAGACCAACTAATTTTCAACTAAAGAATCCGGTCATTATTGATTTATCATGGAGCAAGTTCACAAAAGACTGGGAGGGTTGGAACGATATTAAGATGCACCAAAAAAAAAAAAAAAAAAAAAAAAAAAAAAAAAAAAAAAGGGAAGATGCACCATTCATTTAAGAAGAAGAAGAAGAACAAGAACAACAGGAAGATGCACCATTCATTTTCTTGTCCTGAGTAGCTCGACTACTCGATTGAGAAGTTTAGAGAGACCTTCAAAGCAGAACAGGAAGTGATATGGAGACAAGAGATACTCCCTTAGAATCTAAAATAGAACAGTAGTAAAAGAGTACCTTCGCAGAGTACCTTCGCAAACCCGCGTAATCGATTTCTCCTCTTCATCGTTGCACTATACGCTACAAAGCCAAATACCCTGCTAAATGGAAGATAACATTGAACATCAACCACGTACACAAACTCCTGCTCCAGGGTAGGGTAACAGTGTAATGACCCGGTCATTTTTCTTCCTTTTCTTTTTCGGTAATTTTTTTTTTCCATCTTTTTCCCTTTTTCGTCCTTTTCTCGTTTATCATTTTTCCTTACATAACCTCACATGTATTCATGATATTAATTTCTAACATAATTGTATTTTTACTTTAGTAGAAAAGCATGCTAGATGTTTACTTTTCTTATAAAGGGCATGTATGCATAACTTTTTGAAAATATTTTTGGCTTTTGGGATTTTAGTGTAATTATGTAAAGTAATTATTTTTCATCTTAGGGACCATTTTGTAATTTAATTTGAAAAATATTTTTAAAAATGACCTTTTTGCAATTTTTAGAAAATGTCACACTCCCATGGAGCCACTTGTCAGCATTGGGGTGGAGTCACTTGGAAGCATTATCTTGTGACATGTGGAGGGTGGAGATTCACCCACTTATTGGCCTAGGATTGGTGCACTTGTTAGTTTGGATGGTTGACAAGTGTAGGCTTAAGATTAAGTCTAGGAAGGAGCCATGGATTGGTGATAAATGTAGGCACCAAATGGAGTCTTACATTGTGTGTGTGTGTGAGGTAGTGTAAGAACATCTAGTGAGTGGAGGAATACTAGATCCTCCACCCACCACTTTTCGTTTGATCTCATCTTCATTCCCTTTGCTCTCATCCGAACATAGCCTCCATTGAAGGAAAAGCTTGGCTTAAAGCTTTTGACTTCATTTTGGCCTCCTTCCACCTACCTTAGACCTTTAAGCTAGTAATACTTTTGCTTCCTCTCACTCTCCTCTACAAAACCCTTGTTTGGTTTTCCATTTTTAAGCTTGGTTGCCTTGGATTATAGAGATACAATTCTCTATTGAGGTAGGGGGTGTTCTAGTTTATTATCTAAGTGAATAAATTGTCTTTATAATGATGTATAAGTTGTATGCATGTCTTATACCAATTTGGAAAATTAATGATTAATTGTAACTTGCATATAACTCATTTTAGACTTAATATATGACATGGCCATGACTTACTCCATGTTATATATTAAATTTGAATCATTTGGACAACTCTAGAAATCTAGAGAAATTGATTAGTTAGTCTACTTAATTTTTATTTTATTGATCTAATGATTTAGTCATGCAATTCATAGAACTTTTATTGTGTTTTTATCACATATCATGACTTGTTACTCAACTTGTTGATTTTGGAAACTTGGGATATCATCAATTACTTGACTTAGCTAGGACTTGGTTCTAGTACGGGAGATAGAGAGCTCCCTACACAATAGTGCGCACTGGGAGAAGGTACCCATGGGTTAATAGCCTTAAAGTGATCCCAAGAGTACGGTATTAGTTCAGGCGATATCCAAGTATCCACTTTGGTTTGATTTCGTACTTTAAATTCTAAGTTGGTAACCTTGTGAAATTTCATCTCATTATGCCTTGTTGAAAGTTTTAATGTCATTTAAATAGCATAGATTAAATTATATTGAATTGCAAACTTTGTATAAAGATAAGTCTATGTATGCTCATTCCCTACGACTAAACTTGTTTACTCACCCCAAAGTTACCGGGTTGTTTTTTAGGTAAAGAAACATTATTGTGGGATGCACAACACTCTTAGGCTTACTTGACTACTTGAAGAAATTTTGTTATATAGAACATGCATTTGTTTAGCATGTTTTACTTTTGGATGAACGCCTGACCATGTAGGACAGAACCATTTGAAAGAACACATGAACCTTTTGGAAGAACGCTTGAATCTTTTGGAAGAACGCCTGACCATGTAGGTCAGAACCTTTTGGAAGAACGCTTGAACCTTTTGGAAGAACGCCTGACCATGTGGGTCAGAACCTTTTAGAAGAACGCTTGAACCTTTTGGAAAACATCTGACCATGTAGGTCAGAACCTTTTGGAAGAACGCTTGAATCTTTTGGAAGGACGCCTGACCATGTAGGTCGAACCTTTTGGAAGAACGCTTGAACCTTTTTGGAAGAACGCCTAACCGTGTAGGTCAGAACCTTTTGGAAGAACGCTTGAATATTTTGGAAGAATGCCTGACCATATAGGTTAAAACCTTTTGGAAGAACACTTGAACCTTTTGGAAGAACGCCTGACCATGTAGGTCAGAACCTTTTGGAAGAACGCATGAACCTTTTGGAAGAATGCTTTAATCTTTTGGAAGAACGCCTGACCATATAGGTTAGAACCTTTTGGAAGAACGCTTGAACCTTTTGGAAGAACGCCTGACCATGTAGGTCAGAACCCTTTTTTTTTTTTTTTTGATCATCTTCCGCTTCCACATTTTGGATTTATTTTTGAGTCATCTCTTAGTCATCACTGACGCACCGGGTTTATAAAACTTGGGCTGTCACAGGTGGTATCAGAGCTCCCAGGTTCGAAAACCTTAGGACGACGGATTTTGGATGCATATCATGCTTTTGTTGACTTACTTTGATATGTTTATATGCTACTTGTTAACCTATTTTGGTATTATAACATGTTTACGTTTTAGTTTGATAACATGTCTATATGCTTACGTGCCTAAGTACCTGGAAGTTCTCAATATATTATTAGCATATTGTATATGCTTATCTGTTTTAGCATAACTGTATGATATATACATTGACATGCTTCTTGTTTTGTGCATTCATAGTGTGAGTTGCATTCGGTTATAACAACTTCTGTTATTGTTGACCTCCTTCCTTTCATGCGTTTAACGTCAAGGTTTTGACTCGCGGAGAATCTTCTCGTCACGAATGAGCGAGTGAGCAAATTGAGGACACATAACTTGTCAGGGATTTTATTGGTAGGATTAGGGCTCCAACTCGGGGTGTGGATGCTAATCCACCTCGAGCACATGCTACGGGGGAGCAGGTTGCAGACACCGGGCTCACATAGGGTCCAGGGAGGCCCAGGATTTGACCTCATGGCGTGGAGCCTAATCCACTACGAGCCCCGACATATGAGGAACAGATCGCATAGGGAGTGGCTCTAGGGATGTCAGAGTCCATTTAGCAGATGTTTCATCAGCATATTGCAGTGATGCAAATTCTGGTACCAGCACCGGCACCGACACCAATTGCTAATGAGGCATTGGACTACTTTATGAAGTTACAGCGAGTTAAAATCGACCAATTTGCAGGGAGTATGGATCCGTTTGCTTCAAAGGCATGGTTTGATCTTATGGT